AAAGCCTCACCCAATCGATACTTCTGACAGGGGTAGTAAAATAAAGAGAAAGAAGTAACTAAACCAGAACAACACAACAATTATGAATACTCAAGGCCGCACACTCATCAATCATCAATATCGCAGAAAAATTTCTTGCGATCGGGCAGTTAATTACCTCAAAGTCGCCTTGATCATCATTCAGAATTTTAAATTTGAAAATTATTTTTTCGCAACAATTCATGGCAGCTAATGTGTTGTACCAGCGGATGACCTGGTATTCACATAGAACGTTTCAATTTCTTCGCAGAATCTGCATAACTCGGTATCGAAGATACTTATGTTTCTCAATTCATATCTGGGGGAATTATAACCTGTGTAGAAACCAGTGACCAAAGCTAAACGCTGCTTCGTAGTCCCAGCCGCTAATGTGTTGTACCGGCGGCTTTTATAAGGCTTTTCGCTTGCCGTTGTCTTGCACTTTGCTTTCAATGGCCATCCGACTCTTTTTTTTTTTTGTGTCAATTTCAATCCAACCTTATCAACATACCTCGGATCTATCACATTCCCCCAATTGCCTAAAAAGTCAGTCCTTTCATTGCCTTTAATACCGGAACGACTAAATGTTTGACAACTCTGTCATAATAAATGCAACTCTGGCTGCCCCATTTTATATATAAGCATTTACGTATATTAATGTTAGACCATTGCCTATGTAAACAATGATCGAGTAAGACGTGTCTGAGTAATGCTAATTTAAATTTAATTTCTAGATAATAAAATCGATTCCTACTGTACCATTTTTTCACTTATATCTTTCGTTTCTGATTTTGATGATATTATTCTTCTTATCTTTCGCTTGCATAGAAGTTACAACACCATCCAGTTACCCATATTAGGTGCTTGCCCAGCTCATTCAAGGTTTCGAGGCGCTTCAACATAGGCCTATATGTCATTGTTGGCCCTTACAGGATCTTTAAGGCGCCTTGGTTGCTGGAGTAAACGCAGATCATCTCTGTTCTATATTGAATTCTTTTTATGTTATATTTTGGACTAAAGGGGACAAGAAGACTTTTTCGTTACATAATCCAAAAATCCAAAATATAGATCCACGTCCGATAGAAATTTAAAATAGCTAACTTCTCCATCAAATTGCACTTACGAAGCTTTCCCATACAAAGGCTTCGGTACAAAAAGTGGTATAGGGTATAACAAGATGGGAGCGTTTCGGTTAGAGCGACATGCTCCAGTTCAAGACTAGTCGCAAAAATATATATATATATATATTTTTTTTTTAAACACCGCAAACACTATACATATATAGATATATCTACATCTACAGCCCTAAAAGCATGTACGAAGAGACAAATTTCAACCAACATTTTCATAAAAACAATATTTACGTATATAAAGGTCAAAGTCGTAGGATCATGTAAAAGGAAATCGAAAAACATTTATCACGCCTACTCAGTATTATAGTGCATCGAAACTTTTTAACTGTTATTAATTGGTTCATAATTGATCGTAATCCTTCTCAGATAGAGAGATTCGTGCTCTTTCTATTCAAAAAAATGTTTTAAAATGTTTTAAATTTTTTCTCCTTAAATATATTTTTTTACGTATCCTTATGGTATGTGCAAATTCGTCCTTGGTAATACGTTGATATATATTCGATTATATTTACATGAGCTGCTCGTGAAAGAACGAAAATTCACTATAATATTAAAAGTGCAGTAAAAATTGACGATAACAACTTTACAAATACATCGCAGCGCTTTCTCTGTTAGTGGCCGGTACAAAACGGCGTAACATTCGTTGCAACATTATTTCCCTTACTTCGCTTATTCTCGAATCAGATAAGTTTTTTAAGAAAATCTTAAAAGGTCAATATCTTGTCATGTCTCTCTGCTTTTGTTTTGAGCCGTGACAAGAACCAATAACATAATTTAAAAAAATTTTCTTGAGCCGCGCTTTTTGTGATTAAAAGCGCATATTATAACATATGTTATTAATATAAAATGGCAAATAAAGCTGTTCCTATAAGGCAAACTCAATAAAAAAATTTTAGCGCAGCCTGATCGATGTGTTCATTGAATAGCTGTGAGGTTTTTAAACAATAATAAGCACAGAATAGAATGCAATACAATTTAACATACATATATATATATATATGTATATATATATAAGTTATGTATATAATTTAAATGTTACGTATATAACATATAATTGCACCTCTACAGCTGCAGAAGACGCCTTTTGTATCGATAATACTGTTCTTCATTACCTGGCAAAGTTACTTTAGTATTAAGCTATTGATTTTTATTTTGATAGTTTGTATACATATGTATTTTGTACGTACGTGCTATTGTTTACATTTCAAAAATAAGACCTTTTTTATTGTTGCTGTACATCTAGTACCGTGTATTATTATTTCTGTAGGCATCTAGCATGAAAAAAAAATTTCTTTTTTAGCAAATTGGCAACACTCTCACATAATTGATCTAGATTTTTGCTTAGTCCCATCGTCGTGTATGGTTTTTGTGATTCATAAGAGTTATAACAAATTCTTTGATAGCAACACTGCATATGGCAAATGAATGGATGTTGGAAATGCTGTGAGTTTTTATTCGTTACAAAAACACATAATGTATACAAAATTATTATTATGGTACCAGGTATGTGACAAGATGATCCGACGTTTGGTCCAAAACTCCAACTAGGAAGTTATTACGAACTTTTTGTAGATGCGTTACGAATGAAAGCAGTAACGCTATTAATTAAGGGCCATTTGACAGCTTGCTCTTTCATTCTTATTGTTTTTATGGGGCTATTAAGTTAGTTTCTTAATACAACGTCACATACTCTCAAACGTTTGCAAAGCAGAAGCATATATTATTCTACGTTTTTAAATGAATATGCCTTCTAGTAAGCTCGTTCGTTCGGATATTTTCACTCTGGTTTCATTTTTAACAATAAGTTTGCTGCTAGTATTCAAACTGGTGGAGACCTGGAAGGGTTCGACGGCAACGCATAGATTTGTCGAAAATTTAAACAACCATTTTGGCGAATTAAACGTTTTAAGATTAAACAACAACACTGCTCGAGAGTTTGCTCGCCAAACAATAGCTGAAAAGAAATGAAAATTATTGACAGTACAGGAGCATTTGAAAGGCGTCTTTGTCAAGTGACCAGAAATGTAAATCTATGAATCGAATTACTTAATAGAGTTTCCAGCTGAGATTTCTAAAGAGGGACACTCGTGACAATCGGACAGACACATATGAAAGTATACATTAAGAGTAAATTCGTATCTTTAGACGCTTAGGTCTATAAGATCTGAACTAAATTTCTTAGCTGTGTCAACTAATACATGAAGTGCCAGGCTGTGTACTAAAATTACACTTTCATAAAACATCTTAGATATCTAATGATGTATCACAATATATTCGACATTTTAAAGCTTACTGATTTTCAAATTTATGAAAATTTGATCATTTTTCTTTGGTCAACTGCTGCTAAGATACCAAATTATAAAATTTTTTCATCGACATTACCATTTGAATGACATCTCAATATACTTCTTGATCTCCAATTTTATTAAAATAGCCCACAATTTGTAGTAGTAGTTTGGCTTCGTTGTATTTTCAAATTTACACAATTTCTGCGAAGATTTGATCTTTCATCTCATTTCCATAAACAAACATGCGCAACGACAATTAAAAAGTACTATTTAATATTATAAATCTTTCTTCTTAAAGTACTCCACGATGCCCATTGAGTAACTTTTTGAATTTGCCAGTTTTTACAAATAAATAAAATCATATGGAACTATAGCTGACTTAAATTATTTATAGAAACGCATTGGAGTGGGAAGACTAAAAAAAGAGTTGCTAAACAAAATAAATGATAACACGCAAATATGTAACAATATGATAGTCGGCCCTTTCCGAATACAATGTTCTTATTTCTTAAGTTTTTTATGAGATCACTAATAATTTTGCTGGGCGAATATTGTTAAGGAAACATTTCATCTTATGATATATAATGTGTTTATTAGGTATTAAAAGAATTATTTCATTTTTTTGTGGAAATAGTACGGGTAAACTTGCAAAGCATGGCAACGCTGTCGATCGTCAAAGAATGTTGAATAATAAATCGAAACTTGAAAAAATATACATGGTTGTTTACGCTCATTTATTATTTATCTATTCAAACTATGCTTTTAATCTATGAACGTAACATTGTTTCATCTACACAAAAGCAGTATTTCATCTCGATACGTAATATTACTTATCTATAAGGATATTACTTTTCACATGTTATTCAAAAAATTATCCAATTTTTTTATACAAATTATTTATCTTTTTAGTAAACATCCATAGATTACAAATTGGATGAGTTAGATGAAATTTAGAGTCGTGGTATTATAAGTTACCATATTACTTAGACTATAAGACGAAACTTTTTCCATAGAAAAATGGACTCAAGGTCAGAAGGTTAAAAACAGAAAAAAAAAAACGCGGTTGAGCTAAGTTTATGCTCCACTGCGGGCTTTCACTCTGGCCAATTTGACCCCTTTTCAATACCAACTTGCGTGCAAAGATGTCCAATGTTTCTATCAAAGTTGAAGTCTACATATTCAATTTTGCGACCAGAAGAATGCCAACTATAAACACCACACAGGCGCACAGGCGGTCGAACATTGCTATATCTATTCAGAATTTCGCGCTGATCAAAAATATATTTTATAGGGTCTCTGAGGCTTATTTTTGGGTGTTACTTACATTATGAAAAAAAGCGAAATGAGTATACCCCCATCTTACACTGATGGATACAAAAACATACAATTTCGAAAGGATAATTTAGCATCAAACTATAATAATAATTACAGTTTTCTACGATTTTCTCAATGGAATTAAGTAAATTCGCTCTGAATGTGAAATGAAATAAAATGTTCATTCTTCCGAAAATATTACGGTTTTTCTTCCTCTTCAAAAGTGGAAACAGAGGCACATAAGTATATTTATAATACTTCACAACGAGACAGAGACGTTTAGGGCAATAATGTCAGTCCTGCCTTTCAATAAATCGAAAACAATCGCTTCCTTTCCCTAAACATCTTATAAGATATGACTAAGCAGTGATCACAGCAGCTCTAGATCAGATTGAGCTATTGAACAAACGCATAAGTATGGCGGACACCAAGCGGAGCTTGCTTTTAATTAATAAAAAATTATCTGAAAAGTGACTTTAAAAATATGAATACGAATGGAAGTTGTAAGCAGGGCTACGTCTTTTCTTTTTTTTTTTTTTTAATTAACATAATTAGCGTTTAATAACAAATGTTATTTTTTTAAAGAGTGACACTGAGAGCGATAAAGAAGAGACCAAACAAAAGCATTAAGCAGAGAGGAGTTTGGTTAAATTTTTTCTCAACGTTGTTAAGAAAATCTTTTTCTTCAAAGTTTCACATTAAAACTTAAAAGTTCAGTTCGAGTGTAATGCACAGCACAAGTGCTTAAAGTAAAAATTTAATAAGAAAGAAAGAAAGAGTCGTCAAATAGATCCGGGCAAACGTTAATAATAAATAAGAATAGGGAAAAAATTGGGAGAAACTATGAAACAATTAAATGCGTACGTTGCTATTGTAGTGATCTTAATTATTGTTGCAATATATTTGGAATCGACAAATGGTGGGTTTTTTGTTTTTTTTTTTCTTTTCTCTGTTATTTACTTTCGATTAATAGAGGAGGCTTATGCTTAACAAGTTGAACGTTGCGCTTGCGCAATGTCTAAGCAATACTTATCAATTTTATCGATATATGCTCGGAATAAATGTCAAAGTTATTAAGGAAAGGCATTTATGTGACTGATATGAAATAATTAATGCGAAATTCTTTTAGCTTTACTCAGACGTTGTTACCAATGCCGTTCGCGAGGTGAACTGGGCAGCTGTAAAGATCCATTTCTATTCAATGCCACCGATGGAGCAAATGAACCGGGCCTTTCCGCTGTACCATGCGCCTCAGGTTGGTGCGGCAAGGTCATAGAAGGCGGCGGTGCTTACGCAGTTGATGGTACGTTAATCGCAGCTTAAAAAAAAAAAAAAAAAAAACTATTCAAATAAGTTCAAGAAAGTTGCATATTACTACGAGAATGCCGTACTCACGTCAACTAAACTTGGGTTAGAAAGATTTAAGATTCTCTTGTGTTTTTCTCTCTTTGCTTTAGATTACGATCAGGCCATACAACGTATGTGCGTTCAACGTGGTCCCGATGACAATCAGGATCGTTGCGCGAACACTATATACAATTATAAAAAAGTGTACATGTGCTTCTGTCAGGGCGATTTATGCAATGCTGCCGACTCAATGCCTAAATTAGGTTTATTAATTACCTTGACCCTAACTTTAATATTGAAGATTTTTGTATAAATTAACTGAATTTCATATAAATATAAAAAGCAGCTTTAATTGATTCCCCATAAAAAGAAAAAGCCGTTCAACTACTTGATAATAGTTTTATTGAAAGAAAAAAAAAAAAAAAAAAACAAAACAAAAAAAAAAAAGAAAACTCCAAGCTTTTTACAATTCATTTTTAAAAAATTAGTAAATTTCAAGCTTTCGAAACTTGCAAACCAAAAAAAAAAAAAATAATAATAATAATGAAAATATTCGCATACATATTATAATCTATATTATTAATCAATATCATTCATTAGCATAATAAACAATCGTCTTCTTTGTTATATTTCAATGGTTAGGGCGTAAGCTGAATAATGAAATAAACCAAATTGGGGAAGAAAGAAGAAAAAGATAATTGAAAATTTAGTCCAAAGTTATAATATTGCTGTCGACAATTGGCTGGCGGGTAACAATCGCATTTGGCAGCGTCTTGATGGAATCAACAAACTTCAACAATGTATTCATTTGTATTTTGTATTGTTTGCCAGTACGTTCCAAGATGTCGTGACGGTCGCGTTCCTTAGCTAATTGCAATTCCAAATCTCTTGCTTTCTTCTCAAGATTTTCATTTTTTTTCAGTTCTATTGTGAAAATAAAACATTTTTCAAAATTTCAATTTGATACTTTGCTAACTAAGCATATTATCGCTCTTACCCTTTTCTAACAATTGCTCTTGAATTTTCCTACAAGTGGGGCATAGTTTCACTTCAGTCTTCAATGGATTTATTTCTTCGCAATCATTCTCTTCGTGATGGCAAGTCGGATGATAGAAGAATTTACATGCATCGCATTGTTCCAAAATACCACCGCTTTTAAGGCACTCATTACAATCGCGTTTATCGTCTGGAGAACTGGAAACAGAACGTGAAGGGGGAGCTAAAGAGCGCTCATAAGCAGCATCGTCTATCTTTTCAGCACTGCGTCGTTTGGCCTTTTTGTTAGGCAAAGTTTTTTTAACCTGCGGCGATAGTAAAAAAGCTTTACGTTTCTTTTTTGAATCCGATTGCTCTACGGGTACGGTAGGAGGTATGTTATGCTAGAGAAGAAGAAAAGAAAATAAGCAATAAATAAATAAATAAATAAAACAAAATATGAAAAGTTATCATTTTTTTTCTTTTTTTTAGGGTAACAACTTTTCTTTACCTCAATTTTCCCATAATGATATAGTGACCTTACATTGTTTTGTACACAACGTCTACGGCGCTTCGAACGTCTTTGCTGTAACTGAGCGTGTACTTCCGGCGTGAATAGATGAAAGATTCTTAAAAACATTTCTTGGCCATACTCCTCGACTTTAGTTCGTGTCTCTTCTATTTCGTCCGGCCAAGAGCTATGCGGTGGTGTGGAACTTCGCTCTGGTGTACCTTCACCAGATGACGAAGTAGTCTCCGGTGTTTTAATCAAGGTAGAAGTTGCAGCAGCTGCAGAATTACGAGTATTTCGAGTTTTTGTCGATTGCGATTTTTTTAAAAAGCCCGACGATTCAACCGGTGTGGATATCTTGGTCTGTTGCTGTGGAGGTTTTTGCTGTTGGTAATTCTGCTGCTGTTGTTGATGTGCTTGTTGTTGTTGCTGCTGCTGTTTTTGCTGTTGTGATTGTTTAGGCTGCTGCTGTTGTTGCGGCTGCGGGGAAACCTCCGATTGTATGGACGTCAACGCAGGAGGATTAGTCAAATTCCGCTGAGTTACCATTGGACCACGAACTGCGGCCTGAGCTCTTTTCAAAGCCTGACGCAAATTCATACGACTCATTTTGACATTCGTTGATACGGGCAATTCGACAGGTTTTTCATTGGTGTCGTAGGGACCAGCAGTAGCCATCGCTTGAATTTTAGTAGCTTGATTATAAATTTCACATAAAGAAAAGGCGGCGGTTATCTTGGGTTGCATATCCGTAGCAGTATCCACTGACATGCGTTGACTCATCGGTTTAAGTAGAGATTGTCCATTAGAATTGCCATTACGACCGTTCAACAATAAGCTCTCACTATTAGCAGCATTAGCTGCGCTAGGTGAATATTCTCGTTTAGCCCCCCCGATATTTGTCCTGAACTCTGTCCATTTTTTTCTCCATCAACATTCTACTGCTTCTGCTGCTGCTGGGACCGTCGTCATCCAAATCAATTATTTCGCATGGTTTCTGCTCCTTTTGAATTTCAAAGTACTTCTCAATCAAACGTTCTTCGCTGCTGCGAAAAAGTACCGTTATCGGGACAATCTCTATTTTACTATCATTGACATGCGGCACAATCTCATTTGCAACCATGTTATTGGTGGCCATGGTATCAATTGGTATACCATTTTGTTGAAGAGTCTTATGAAATTCATCAATAATGCGACGTACACGCAAAAAAAGGAAATGTTGCTCGGCATTGATTTCACAAATTTCAGCTTCTAATTCGTCTAATATACGTTTTTTTTGTTGGGGATCCTAAAATAAAAACAAAATCGGAAATAGACAAAAACATACTTTATTGAAAATATTATAAACACTTTTTTTTGTTGCCACTCTGAGGTGTGGTGGACGATAAGTTAAGTGCATTTTTTAATGCATGATCTCTATGACTATCCGCTATGAATATATGTGTGGATATACATCCGAATATTTATGACTGTATGAATTCCAACAGCACACGGTGCACAGAGTTATGGAACTTTGGGGAGCTTATGCTACTTAAACGCATATACACTTTATAGTACCCATTGCAAATGGAATTGCACAATGTTCTATAATTTGGCCATTAATTTGCTTGGTAAGCAAGTTACCCTTGAAGTAAGCTATGATCATCATTTGTTTGGGAAGTAAGTTATCCTATAGCTACGGTCTAAATAATGGCTTTATTGACTTCGTAAAACATGCTTAACGTACTTTAAATGATAATTAATGTGATATGTATGGATGTGTATAACAAATTGATGCTTTAACAAAATCCCAGAAAATTTTCAAGAAAAAGCTAATGCAACCCTGAATGCTTGCAAGCAGCAGATATTAATTTAATTCTGATCTAACAAAAAAAGGTGAAAAGTAAATATTTCGTTTGTCTATAGTAAATACATATATATATATATATATATTTGTTTCGTTTTTTGAATTACTTTGTAAAAATTTTGCTATTAACTATAAAACAATTAAAGTTAGGCAGCATTTCTTTAACGCAATAATGAAAAATAACTCAAAGTAACGACCTAAACGAACGTATGTTAAATATAAAGCGACAGACGCACACTTGCCTACATACACATAACAATGTTCCTTATAGAAAAATGAAATAAAATGGCGTTTAGCATATTCGAGAGCATTAGTAACGAAACAAAACTTCTTCGTAGTATTTTTCATAATTTAAGCATATTTACATATATATTATTTACGAAAATTTTTTTGAAATTAAAAAGAGCCTCCTCCATTATTATGAAGAATCAGCTTTTGTTTCCTTGGTCCATACAAATATATATGCATATACATGTATATATATATATATATATATATATATATTGTGTATATATATATATTCATTCACATATTTACTTATTATACATACGTTTGACGTTTCTTAGGCAAGCCAGACCAGATAGCTAATCATAACCTCAAATTAAACATTCATATAGACACAATTTTGAATGAAAGTTGAAAATAAAATGTTAATAATGTTATCTAGCTATAAATTAGAGACCTTTTTTTTTTAATGATTTGAAGGTTAAAAGGCTAATGCTTTCACTTTTCTTTTGTTATTAAAAATTTCTGTACGAAAAGCGGGCTGGTATGTAGGGGTAGAGTGTTAACGAAACACACACACTTAAAAAAAAAAAAAAAGACAAATTACAACTTAATAATGAAGTTGCAATAGTCGTTTTTGTTCAATTAAAACAAAGCAACATTTTTTAAATGCGAGAATTATTATGAGGTAAAAGAAATAAACCTTCAGCCAATTATTTTAAGAGTTTGCAATAAGCTTAATTATACGAGCAGACATGTTCTAAATAAATAAAAGGCACAAAAGAAAAATAAAATAATACTTATTAAATGGCTGATAATAATAACTGTGCGCTTAACGCTGAAATAAGACTTCCATAAATTATTTATTAACACCTATTATAATAATAAAAATAATGTTTATAATAATTCTTATTAATGTCATTATTATGTGAATTACATGTTACCACTTATCTGACTACTTATGCTATCATCCTATTTTATTTTATGAAAATAACTAGTTAAAGTGTAATTATGTTCTTTTGCACTTACTGCATCGTGTTGTTGCTGAAATACATCCAAGACCATCTACAAGAAATGAAAATAAATAAAATATATAAGTGAAATAGAAACAAAGAAGACACACATCAGTTACAATGACATTTTACTTAAAATACTAATCAATATACATACAAAGTCAATCATATAAAAGCGAAAACGAACATTATAAAATTATCCAAGTTAAACGATTTTAATTTTTGACGCAATTTATTGCAAATTATGAAACGTTATATTAACACTTACTTGATGCACTTTGATATGTGCCTTCATGGCACGCTGGCAATAGATTATATCATTTTTAATATCTTTGGGTAATTTGAAAAAGTTATCCAAATATATTTGAAACAAACGATTGCCAGTCAACTGGCGAGATGATGCCGATGACAAGGCTTTGGATATAATAGTCATCTTCTTACAGCTGGTTTCCATCTTTTTTGTTACACCACTTGATGAGGTAGTTGTGGCCGACAATGGCGTTTTGAACATTATAGTATTATATTAAAACTGAATTTTTTTTCAGCTTTTTGATGCACTTTTGCATCTAAATGTAGTCTAATAATTTCTTTTTATTTTTTTTATTTTTTATTTTTGTTTTTAGCCACACTATATTCTCAAACTGTTAACAATTCATTTTCTTTAAGCAGTGCGTATGTTATCAGTTTATTTAAAAAATCCCCAAAAAAAAAAAACAAAAATTTCACAGCGGTTGCCAGTGACTTTTTTATAGAAACATTTGAATTGAAAAACTTTAATAAAGTGCACAGCAAATACGGCAAATAATATTCAAACTTCTTTTTTGGTCAACGTTTTGTACGGTTATGAGATTTCTTAAAATTATTTGCAACGACGTGAAGTAAAAAATGTTCTTTGAATTTTATTATTACACATTTTCACAAATCTCTTTACCTGACGTATTGCTGTTGCTTATGCTCTCGCCATTCCTCTCTTTCGACCCGTTATGCTCACCGAAACAAATCGCATTTTTCTCATTCATTAACTACTTTGCATTTTGACAACTCAGGAGAATTGTAACGCGGTTTAATAGCTTGTCAATTTGTTATTAGTAGACGATTTCTTTATCATTTCATCATTTTCTATTCAAAATCAAGTTTTTTCATCAAAGTAACACTTGCATTTTGCACTGCATAAAAACACCGAACTTCCGTTTTCACTAAAATCTTATTACTTTGTTTATCAGATCATCTACACAATAATGAAATTTTAATCAAAGTACGTTCTGCATACTTTGAAATTTAAATAATGCTGCTTCTACTTTTGTAACGTAGTTAATTGTTTTATAGGTTTTTGTTTCTAAAATAAGCCTGCTGTGTTGTTTTTCTTCCGCAATGTGACATTTATATTTGTTGCTAGTCGCTGTACCTTTACCATGATTTAAAAATAACTTTTATAATAAAATTTTTAGTAATAAGTATTATTTCAAGAACACAAATTGATTTTTTCTATTAAATCGAATAACAAAATAGACTTCAAAATTTGGCTGCACTGCTTCATTGAACATATGTTCAAGCAGATTGCCAAACAAAAGCTTTTGTGTATGTTATCTAAATGAAAGACAGTATACGTTTCGGAATAAATTAAATGTTGTTAATTAAAGATTAAAAGATTTTGAAAGATTTTAATCTCTACAAGTTCCAAAAGTAATTGTTGGCATCAATTGAATGTCTATCTTAATTTTTTTATTTTAACTTCAAAAATTTAATCTGGCAATAATTTAGGTAGACAAGTGCTGTGCGTTTTCCTAAATAAATCGCATCTGTCGAATTTCTTGTTAGCAACTTTGACGGGTTTTGCATTTTTGAAGAACTTTGCTCGGTAGGTTTTTTGGGCAACGTACAAATAGGATTTAGCAGAAATATTAAATAATAAAACTGCAGGTAATTCAATTAAATGTAGATTTTCTTGTATTTTTTTTTTTTAAGTTCTTCACGATAATCCGTGTATAACAAAGTGGAATGGATTGCTTATTATGTTTTTAATTACCTAACCTTCAAAGTTACATAATTAATAGAATCTTGGAAATTCTCCTTTCCGTGATAGATAAACATGTTTGTAAAAAATGCTCGCTTACTGGCCAGACGTGGCACACATTTGATGCAAGCCCGTGGTTACGCGGACGAAATGAAACTAACCTTTGCCGCTGCCAATAAAACATTCTACGACAAGGCCGATGTACGCCAAATTGACGTGCCATCCTTTAGTGGTAGTTTCGGCATATTGGCTAAACATGTACCCACTTTGGGTAAGTGCTGCAAATCCGAAATTCAAGCGATTAATTGTGAAAATTCTGATAAATATTCATTTATATTAATAACTTAGCTGTTTTAAAACCCGGTCTTGTTCAAGTCATTGAAAATGACGGTAAAACCTCCAAATACTTTGTGTCTAGTGGCACCATTACTGTTAATGAAGATTCCAGTGTGCAAGTATTGGCTGAAGAGGCCCACGATATTAAAGATATCGATGTTAGTGAAGCCCGTCAATTGCTTTCCAAGTATCAGTCTGCTATATCGTCAGCTAGTAGCGATGCTGTGAGTAAAGCTTTATGATTCATAACATTGTCGAATGCAATTTTATATCGATTTTTCAAATTATAGGATAAGGCTGAAGCGGCTATTGCCGTTGAATGCTGCGAAGCTCTTGTTAAAGCTGCCGAATAAATTTATATTTTTAGATTAACCGCTAAAGTTATGGTAACAACATCTTTCAATTCCCCTTAAATATATTTAAGCTACGGTTCTTTTGGCGAAAATATACATTTTCGCGTGCGGTTGAGAATCGAAAAAGTAGTTTGATAATAAGGCGAATTTGTAAAGTAAAAATGACTAAAATTCACAACTAATAAAATATGAAATAAATCCAAACTAAATTGAATTATGTTTGTGGTATTAAATATATAATATGCCGGTGTACATATTAATGTTAATGTTTACAATGCAATCTTATTGAAAAAGAAATGAACGATTATGTCGTAAAGTATGCATTGTACATAAGTGTATAAAAGTCTCAAATTAAAGTGTTAAAAGTCTCAAGTTATTATAATTGCTAGGAAATCATTAAGTTTTCAGTCTAATATCTTATAAATCTAATGTGAAAGTGGTGGTGTTCCATAAGTTTCGGCTGGAGCTGGCTCAGGAATGCTGAATGCTGGTGACTCGTATAAAGCATCCATTGCGATGGCGGCGGTATCAAACACTGGAGCTGGCTCAATTATAGGCGGCAAAATGGAAGTTTCAGGCATTTGAATATTGTTTTCATGTTGATGAATATCGGACGATGCATCCGTTACACGAGGGATGTCGATAGCGACGTGGTCTTTATGTTCATGTATTAAATGTATAATTCGTTCAGGTGCGTGGTTAACGTGCCCGGTTTCAGGGTTTTCATGTATAATTTTTAAAACTTCCGGTTCATGGAAGTGATCATTTAAATTATTAGTCTCATGAGAGTATTTAGTCACTTGTGGCGCAGAGTTCTCATGAATAACTTTAATAACTTGTGGAGTATCGTAATTACTTTTATGGTATACATTACCATCTATCGAATAGTCATGAATAACTTTATAGACTACTGGCTCAGATTCAATAAGTCCTTGATGTATTACTTTTATTATTGGCGCAGATTTGCGAATGTTTTCAAAATTATCAACGTTCTGCCTAGAAATTAGTTTCACTTTGTAAATGTTGCCTTCGTGATGATGCAAAATGCCCGCCTTGACTATCGCAATTAAGCTTAAGAGATACGTCAAAAACTAAAACATGAAGATACTTTTTTTTATTATTTTTTTTATATAATAAACTAAGAAGAAATTACAACTCACACCTTCATTATGTTATATTGAATGGCTTTTAAACAAATGGTCAGTGATGATGTTTTGTCATGATTTTTATATTGATTGCGTGAGGTCGGCAGACGGTATCATTTATATGAAAAATTAATATATGGAATAGATTTGCTAATACGCACATCAACATCTAATAATGTAAATGATAAAAGCTATTATGTTGATTTCGAGGGTGGAAGAGCTCGAATATAACAAAATTCATATATTCGCCAATGTTTTCTCTCCATTCATTTTCACATTTCACTAATTGTATAAATATGCATATAATATGCAATATTATGCATGAGTATGTGTGCGCTGTTTCACACTCTTTATTGTTACTAATGAAATTTTTATATTTCAACTGGAAGTTATATAATATAAGCAATTTGACTTGATTACAAATTTCATCAATTTGATCAATTAGTTTCCTTTTTAGTAATACTTAAGAGGTAAGTGCCTTCTGCGAAGTAAGTGATGTATGCGCTCGCAAACAAAGATGATAAGTAAAACGGTTGATTACTTGCCTAATAGCAAAACCTTTTTCGATAATTCGTAATGCGGGCTTAACAAGGTTCTGTTGGTTTTTCTACTTTTTTCATTCGCTTTCTCGTAGAGAAATTCTAAGATGGTTTGTACGCATCCGTCTGCCCAAAAACAAGAGGAATTTTCGTCAAAAAAAAAGAAAAGTAAATGCGAAACAAATCGAAAGTAATTCAATTTTCAGGATCAAGTATTCAGAGCTGGTGTGCTGCTCCCATCACCGGTAGAATATCTAAATAATCGAATTAATTCTCAAAAAACTTGAATCAGTTTGGAACAAAAATTTATCAAAGGTATGTAAAAATTGCAGTCAAAAGACAACTTTTTACATTAATGCAAAACAATTATTATTGTTCCTTCGGCCACTAATATGGAATTTAGGTGAAACATAACATTTCCCTCCAAATGGTAAGATTTTCTCTCAATGATTTAATAAAATCGCTCAAGTCTATGGCTTAATTTGCGATAGCTCTTTTCATTATGATGCCTCCTCCGCAATCCCTTCGATTGCAAATATATAACAAAAAAACAATGCAACTTGCAACTCTGGCATATATTCGGTGTTTGCAAAAATTTTGATCACTTTTTCGCATCAAAAAGGCATTTATTGTCGAAAATTCTTTTTTTTTTCAACATTTTATCACTTTTTTTGGCAACATCTCGATATCATGTCGAAAGAACTTATATTGGTTTGCGGTCAGCGATGAACCCATCGACTCATTTTCACACTGCTTCAACTTTGCAGACCTGGATGCCAGCCAAGCTATGCTGCACCGATCTAAACAAGTGGTGATCAGGAGGCGCCATATTTGGCGAGCACGCTGGATGTGACAGGGTTTTCCATTCGAGCTGCAGCATTGTATCCTGGACAACTCTTGTAACAAGTGGCATTTTCAGTCAATTCGTGTCGCCACTTTGAAACTATTGAACCGACAATTGGGATATGATGAAGCAGCATCACCATAAGCCTTTAAAAGTGCTTGATGGGCTTCGGCGGCAGATTGCTCCAGATAAACAACAAAAGTAGTGAATTTAGAAGAAGAAGAATTTTTAGGTATACTGATATTTCTTATTTCTTTAACATTTTTATCTGTGCAAGTCGTTGATGAACATTTTTGCAAAGATCTAATAATAAGGAGTGGTGTGGTCGTCTTGGAAAATAGACACTCAGTTTTCCTGCAAAGGTTTTCCAATCTAATCCAATTCTTATCTACAAAACATTTTTGTCACAAAGAAGTTTTCATTTTCTACAAGTGAGAGAAATTGGTCTTGGCGCTCGCACAAGGAGAATGAAATCTGAATGTACGCCTGTACACTTAATTTGCCTCGACATCTGCTATGCAATATTAGACGGGCCGAGATTTTGTAATCAAATTAAGTTTTGGTAAATTTTAAAAACAAAGCATATACATTGTTACATAGCACTTTTACCCAACTTAAGCTTTTATTCTAAATATATGAATACAAATTTCCTTTTCCATGCGCATAAATTCCTGCAGATCTATTATTTTTATCTGAGCTACGATGAATAATGTCAGCTGCTTCAAGCTTAGAAATATACGAATTATTAATGCAGCTGTTATAAACGCACACACACATCGACGTTAAGTTAGTCAAAACTTGAATAATTGAAGGAACGCGTGAACTTTGAAATGACATTTTTCTACTTGCCCCATAATACATATATAATTCTATGACTTCTTCGACTCACAGCATTCATCGAAGCAAGGGCAATAGCCCTGATCGCTTAGGATCGAGGTGAGAAAATTCTTACTTTCGTTGAAAATATAGAAAGAAACTCTATCGGATCATTATTCACTGGCCATTCATTTATTTAGATTCCCAACTATAAAGCCATAGGTACATAGGTAAAAATCGTTTGCGTACAAAGAACTAAGATTAAATAAATAGTTACCTGGCTCTATCACTACGACTATGATAAACTTCAACTGTTTGTATCGGGGAAATTTAAGCGTTCAAGAATAAGGCCAATTACCTTTTGAAGACATTGAAAGAGTATTCAAAATGATCCCAAAGTCAGCTGCGACGCATGCGAGAATGAAGATGCCAAAGATTTTGATATTAGCGGTATTGATATAAAAGGCTTTCTACTTGATCTACAAAACCGTAACTGTTCGACTAAAAGATTAGACATTTGTGACTGAATGATTTCGTAGAGACAGATTAATAGCCTGATTTTTAATCAGTTATGAAGAGAGAATTTCAAGAAAGCAGAAAGGAACGAGGCGATGTGATCTCTGAGTTTCACATTGTAGACAAACCGTGTAAGGCGGTCGACTATCAGTTTAAATCTATCCAAATTGTGCGATCACTTCAGTGAATTAGTTAACAGGCGATATAAAAAGGAAATGGTCAATTGTATAATTAATATGATCTGGCAAGTGCAAGCTCTGATCATATAATGTCCACAGCAGAAATACTGTCCAAATGGACGTGAAAGTTAAGTTTGTTAGCCAGACTTATCCCAAAAATATGGCATAGGGTCCACGAATTCAATAGAATTTCTATTTAGTGGTATATGCTAATTGGAGGAATCAGTCCGAGCGGAGTTAGAAAGTATAGCTTTGATCTTCGGGCATAAAGCATATTCTCCATCGTCCATAAGTTAATATGCGCCAAGGATTCGTTATATCGCATGTGTAAATATCACTTTCAACGTAGCTATAAAGCAAGAAAATATCGTTTGCTTAAGCAAAAAAAAAAGAAAGCTACAACCGTCGCTTACCGTATCGGAACACTCGTTGACGAATAGATTGAACAATAAGGGTTAAGCGAAGTTTGTGGAACTCTGCGAAACGCTTTTCCTAGATCAAGAGAGGCAAGAAGACAAGATACTCTCGTTGGGTGTTGGTCATCATACCATGATTCAAGTGCAACGAAATTTGTTCTGTGCGGATGTGTTCACTTATTTTAGCAAGACAAGATATAACGCTAATCGGTTGAAGATTGTTATGTGGATAAGGCGAACCCTAGGTCTATTTGTCACCCTACAGGCAAAATCGCGATCGGTTCTTTAACGTATAAAGTAATTTTTTTATTTTATATATAATCCACAATTCACTTATATTTAACTTTTAAGAAATCGGATCAAATAATATTAACTTGATGATTTATATATATATTAACTTAAATATATAAATGACGCCTGTAGGCACCGCTGATACAACAACGATAGGATTTGTTGTCATGTTTTCATTTCATGCTTTTGCGGTTACGTCCGTACGTCCTGGAATTTCATATCGCAATGCTTGCAAATCTTTTGTGAAAGTTCATGTTTTCAAAAGATTCGAACCGAAACATGTACTTCGCCGACTAAATGCGTTTAAGATGATCAGGAATCTTTCATCTCACTCAAGAAAGTTCTTATCTCATTTTTCAGAGATCGTTTTTGCTCTTTAGTAATTAAAGAAACGATTCTATGCAATCATCGCTCCCTAGACATGATGGCGTCAGTTTTATTATTAAAATATTTGATACGTATATTAGATTCATGGGGTGCATGCGATGCCTTGGAATGATACTCGATAGGAAATCATACTCAATCTCTTGTTCCCATGTTCTTTTAATGTTACATATAATCTAATGCATTGACGAGGTTACTGCATGTCTTCTCTATAATCGTTTTAAACTAACATCAGCTATTCGTAAAATCGTGCGTTGTATCTATAAACTCCGTCCCATGTTTGCATTTTCTTAAAATTCTCTCTTTCATGATTAACTCAAGATTAACTCAAATTTAGATTTCTCTATAATCGGTTTAAAATTATTAATCTGCTCCCTTTATAGGCGAGTTCAATTGCGCATATCTAGAAGGAATCTCCATATAGTCATTTCCTGTTGAAATAATCTCCCATCAAATCTTAGAGCCGTTAGCAGTGACGTTAATTCCTCTAAGCAAAGATTCGTTATCTTGAATAATCTATAGATATATATATAGTGATAGTGGTATTTTATTCATGCTAAGTTGGTTAACAGATTTGTAAGCTTAATTACTCATCTATAATATAATTGGGAGAGTACTCGCACATTGCAAAAAATACTTCAACTCTGTAGTTATATGCGGAGTTGGCTTTTCGAAGCTTTGTAGTCACAAAATAAATAAAACTAAAATTGAAATTGAACTCTATATATATATATATATATATATATATATGCATAATTTATGTTATAACTTTGATAATGGCGTGAGTAAGAAGATGACATTCCCTTTCGCTCGTAGTTTATCTTTTGAGTGCGCTTTTATGCTTTATTCTTATATGTAAATTAGTGAACGTTACATTTTAATATTATTGTAGCGTACATCAGTTACGGTACAAAGATATACCCAGCAGAACTTGAGAGAAATCCAACTTTCATTGTACCGATCGATTGGGAATCACTTTCTGAATCAATCTGAGTTTTTCTGTCCCTCTGTCCAGCTGCGTGTCTTATGTTTTAGTGTCAGAATATAAAAATACGAAGAAATTTGATACACTCCTCCTTCGTCCTTCTGCTCAACGACGAACGTGATTGAAAGTGAGTCGCATCGGATCATTTTTTCAAACACTTTCCGTATAACATCTCATTTTGTGTAAGCTTCGTTAAGCGAAGTTATGAAGTAGGGTAGTCAATAGTGCGTTGTGGTCAACTACAATGTTTTTACCTTACGTATAACTTATATATAAAATATCACATTCATATCATTCGATTGCACTCTTAAGGAATACAAAATCTTTTACAATCAAAAATTTCCATTAAGAGAATGAATGATGACGGAACTGTGTGCTAGAAACGCTCTCTTGTGCTACGATAATTTCTATTGCCATAGGAAGCAGTTTCTTGATGTTCAATCGGTTGATAGTCCAGATTCTTGCAGATTGAAGGTTTTTCACCCTCTTTTACCGTAACGATACCGTTCTGTACTACATGACCACTTTTAAAATAATCGTCATATTCACCTTTATTCGGTGTTATAAATGCTTCACCTTTTTCACCATAATTCATTCGAATTTGGGAATTATAGTTATTGGTTGTGACCGCCACATCGGCACCTTTGTTCTGAACAAGAACTTTGGTAATTCTCGGCAAAAATGCATTAAACGATGCTAATGGTTTATATAAATTCGCTTGATAGGGTAACGAAGTTTCGACCGGTGCTGGCAAGGGATATTGTCGATGATCGATAATTTTGTAGGTTTCTAAATTTCTATTATGACCTATATCATGAACATAGGGCTGATGATATGTTGGAATTGTTTTGTAAATTGGAGAACTTGCAAAAAATTCAGGATTGTATCCAGCATTTTGCTGCAGAATTATGGTAAAAGCTTGAGGAACCGGAACGCTATAGTCTGGGATATTATGCTTGGGAATATAATTGATTTCTTTCGCGTAGTAACCGGTATGATCGTTAACCATATTAGAATTCTTATTGTCGTCGCCGAAAGAAGTCACCGACATATTAATTTCGTCTGAACTGCTTCTACTACTGGTACTACTGCTGCTGCTGCTGCTGCTGCTTGCAGCGCTGCCTTTACTAGCGAGAATTAGCCATTTCAATAGCGTGCAATTGGAGCGACATATCATTACGATCAATAGAAAAACAATTATCTAATATATTAAGTTAAAAAGTAGAAATATGTAAAATAAAATTTTAAAGATTTTTTTCAACTAACCTTCATTTTTGCGCCTTACCCGCAAATATTTACCACTGCTTGTATATATTTTGATATTGTAAAACTAATGAATGATATCGAATGAATTCATCACTTAAGCTTTTATAGATTCATAAAGAAATGTCTGTAACGAAAATTGTATTCATGTTAAACAATCGACGCGATGAGATGAGATTTTCGATACAGTTTTTTATAATTATATCCAATACAGTTGTATATATACAATATATCGAGTAAATATTCATATATTGGCATATTATGGTTTTTGATCTTTCAGTTTTTACACATTTGTGTAGATTTTGTAATAATTTGCATAAATTTATTTTATTAATAATTATACGCTGATATTATAAAACATCATAATATGTTTAACTCCCGAAGGTTAGTTGTTAAACGCATCTTATTGACCTCAATTAGTTTTCATCAACAACCAAGGGAAAGTAAATGAATTTTATCACTCGGTACGATTGCAGTGAATATAAATGTTTCCGATTCGTTATTTGACCAATCTGAAACTTTAAAATCTCAATAATTATGCTGGGAAGAAAAATTAAAATTAAATTTAAAAGAAAACTTTTTTCATTAAATAATTTGAATAGAGAGCAATTGAACAACAACAATTCTGCTTTGAAGGACGCCTTGACCATTGATACCATTGATACTAATGCGCAAACAACGGAACTGTAATGTAAAGTGTAACAAAAACGCCTTACTGTGCTCTTGAAGTGGAAGACGCTCCCAAATAATTTCAAAAGCGTAACAAACAAATAAATGACAAATTATCAAAAAATGCGCCTAAAAGCTGTTTATAAAAATTCGAAAAGTTTGCTCGTAAAAGCCGACAACAAATAACTTTGGAAATTTCAACTTCATGAGCTACTAAAAGTTCCTAAAAGATGCACTAGGCTTGACCAAGAGCGAAACTTTGGAATTGTCATAAAAGCGTATTCTCTATGCGAATGTGATTTGAATCCATTGACCATGAAAATAACATTTTTGGATTATAATTACATTACTGGAAACATGTCTATAACTGAGTGTATGCAGTAAATGGATCAGATAGATTCTGTGTTCTGGGTTTTTCCTTCTCTGAAGGCCAATATTGTCTCTTTGTATTCTTATTATTATCCTTATTGCTATACCTATTCCTACTACGTTTGCCATATTGCAATTTTATTCTTATTTTTACACCCATCACCGGGGGAGACGGCGGAGAGTTTAAGACGAGTCTTGGAATTCATTGTCCTCGAGCTGTCGTATTCCTCCAGGCCGTTCTTTGTCCCTGACATTAAAATCACGCCTTTTGATCAGTTGAAAGCAAAAGCGAAAATCGCGATACGATGGAGCGCAGCATTATCATAAGCTTCTAAAATCATTTAATTGCTTGAGTTGGCGATATTTATATTCATAGTTTTGCACTTAGGTTATGGTAGGTTGTTGCTATTCTGCATTTCTGCTTTTCTAACGAATATGGGACGTAGGACATTACTTCTTGAATGGTTATTTATCCATAAAATTCAATTATTGATGAGCATTTATCAGCTCACTCTTTAAAAGCAAGTTTTGTTTTCGATCTTATGGTTACATTGTAAATTTTCAGAAGAGAATGTATTTAGTTGCATGACGTGGCGGTTTTCGATCAGGGCTTTTAAACAATATACTTAGAAGTAAAACATTTTTCATTGATGAGACAATAAAGAAACATTTAATTATAATTTTAATTAGTTGATTCTTACTTATATTATATAACATAAGTTGAATTATTAAAAATTTTCAAATTCCAACCAAATGCCACCATCTAAACGAGTTAACATATAATTTACGTCGTATTTGTTATCGGCTCGCGTCTTTGGGTTAACTTTGATCTTAAATCGGCGCACTATATTCACTAAACCAGTTTTTATTTGAGCCAATGCAAAACGCATACCTAAAATGTAAAAGAAATGCTTATAAATAATTTTATAGCTCAGAAAATTCCCTTTAGCAGTGAAATTAAATATATCGTCTTTCTGGAAAAAGTATCGCATTCCTAGATAAAAAAATTAAAAAATGTTTTCAATGTTCTTTGAAAGTACCTTCCCATCAAAAAAATTTGGTATCTCAACTTAATAGTGCATGCAGGGTACAGTAAAGCCTTCCAGTCAATGTTAATTTTCCGCTTGAAAATTATAATATTTTCTTTGCAACGGTAAATGCAATTGCAATAAATTTTCCCCGCATAAGATACGACCACTACCAGTGATTCATGATATAAAACGCTGCAAAATATCTAGCAAAAGCTATCGATCATCACTTTAACTTTCAAGGAAAAATGTGAAGCTCTTTCTCGCTTCGTCCACGATTTGAATCGCGCAGACTATCATCTTAAGCAGCGCAACAGTATGGAAGGTCCTGGTGAGCAAATGTCGAGGGTTGCTTTTTATAAGCAACTTACATCAAGTCACTTAGAGTTATATTCTGTACTTTCTCTGGAATTGATTGCTTACTGTGAGGTTAAGTTCAGGAACGAAATGAAGTGAAGCGAATAAAGCGATCGAGAAGTCTTTTATTTAAGAGCATAAATTTTTGCAGCAGCCTGCACCAATCAGTTGCTATTAATGGAGTTGAATTGTAAGTCACAGCTTACGTTCGCGCCTAATTCAGTCAACCCCGCGACACGATATTTTAGTTCAACGTGAAATAATAATTCTGGACTTTTTTTCATATATACTAATTTCAAAGGCCAGCTCCGACGAGTGGTCGATCTATTACAACTTCCATTTTGTGATAATTAGGACACTAATGCTTCAATACCTTTAATTTAGCTAACATAACATCCTTACCCAAGCAAGAACGGGGACCATCCCCGAAACCGTAATAAACACCCATATCCTTATATTTCTTGAGGCCGCCGTTTTCCTCGAGAAAACGTTCTGGCTCAAATAAATGCGGATTGTCGTAATAATCCTCATCCGACATAATAGCATGCAAAGGTAAGATGACAACATCACCTTTCTCTATATTAATTGAATGGCTATTTTTGTTATTATACGCAATCGCTTCGGTGCATACTTTGGTGGAAAAAAAAGGTGGAAATAAACGTAGAGTTTCTAAATTAAAAACAAAAAAAAAATAAATAAATAAATAATTAATAAAGAATTGAAACACATTTTATTAAGAAGATAGAAATGACAAGGTACCGTGTATGCAGGCATCCAAATATGGTAGACTGTTAATAATATCGAAATCATTTGAAGATCCCAATTTTTCTTTGATTTCGTTACGCAATTGCTCCTGGCGTTCGGCGTCACGTCCTAACTATAAACTATATAAGACTTTTGTTTTGCTAATCTGTTACGGTGATCAACTTACGAGTAATAAACAATGTGCCATAGCTGAGCCCGTCGTTTCAAATCCGTCAACCAGGAATGACATGGTATAAGCAATTACTCGTGATGTGCTTAAATTCTTTTTCTCTTGTAGTCGCAGCAAGTAATCCAGAAAATCAATACGACTTTCATTTGCACCTTCTCCTCTACCTGATTTCCTTAAATCGATAGCTTTTCCTATCAGATCCGTAAAATACTGTTCAGAGTCTTTGCTGAGAAAACCAGTTTTCAAAAATTTTCGCAACGAGGGTAAAAAATTTGATAAAAGTATCGGTAGTATGAAATAAAAGCTTTGATCAAATAGCTTTGTCACTTTATTCATGGCTTCAAGAGGTTGATCAGAAAAACTGTTTCCACTTAAACCGAGAACACAGTCGGTTACTACTTCGCTACTAAAACGAAGAGTAAGCTAAATTGAAAGGTTATTCTAAATTAATAACAAAGAGAGAGAGAGAGAGAGAGAGAGAGAGAGAGAGAGAGAAAAGAATTATTCAATACATTACATCTGATGCGTTAATACCGTCCTTGGGGCCCATTTGCATTTGCTTCTCTATAAACTGCAGCATCGTTGCGCAGACTTTCTCCGTTATGGGGAAAACACTTTTGATCTTCAAGGAAAATATTGCACGATATACTTTTCGAGAGGAGTTGGATAAATTCAATTTTTGACTTACCCGATTTGGTGTTAATGCGGGAGTTATTTCGGCCCTTCGATCTTTCCATACTTCTCCAGTAAGAACGAAAGGATTGTCAGCGATGACAGACTTTTCATCAACCTATCAATTTATTAGAAATAAAGAACAAAAGAAAATAATTATTAATATTAGTTTTATTATTTTAGCCAGAGAAATAAATTGTAAGACTAAAGTCTTAAAGCACTAGCATCTAAGGCTATCGGTTTTAGTAAAAACTCTACCGCCCGTGAGATTCGAACTCACGACTATTGACACGATAGTCTGTTCACGTTTTGTATCTTATCGGTACGATTTAAAACGTGACGGCAACGTGTAATGTTTACGAAACGAAAAATGAGTATCAATGAAAATATGAATTATTGCCGAGGCACATGATAGCGCCATCTGTTAATGACTGGCTTAGTTAAAGAAGCAGATAACTCAGTGTCGTTCTGTCGAGTTGAAGCGCGGTAAATGGCAGTGCTTTTATTAAGTCGATACGAGTCACCATAACAAAATCCTTCTACAAACAAATGCAAACTTTTGAAGAGATAGAAATCACTTGTAACTAATTTGGACGGGTATTAGGAGTGACAGTTGCTCAAAATGCGGTTTTCATTTACAAAATCAGTTAGAAGTGTGCAATGTTTGACCATGAACTGCAATTAAGCATGAATGTCGTTTTCGAGGACCAAAGTCGAAATGCAGTAAGCTGTGGTTCCTTTTAAGGACACTTATTTCCAGTCTGGGTGTTTTTCTTTGTTTTAGTGTTATTCAGGAGATGTCAGCTATACATGTAGGCGTGGTGGTGTTTAGAGAAGAATTTGTATTAATGGAAAGGAAGCAAAGAAATAGGATTAGTGTACGTTTGATTTGAAAGGAACCTGACACGCTAGGGAAAGCAGATAAGTGTATAGTGCGTAGAATAGCAACGGATCGTGGCAACTTTATCAAGAATTGTTGCTTAAGGGAATATCGATGATTTGCGACACACTGTTGTTGCCCATGAGCATCTGACTCTTCAGCTATGGTCGAGGATTTTCAGATGAGATCTGGAGGCTACCACTCGCCCATATAAGTCGTACTTTAACCTTGGGATGTGAAAATTTTGCTGATATCCCTTACAAGGAAGCACTCCTTTAATATCCTTTCTTGCATTCTTCTTTGCATTTTGAATATGAATATTCTTTCAAACGAACACGGTTTTATATTTTTATGCTTTGAACATCAGCACTTGCTCTTTTACGTTGACACCACTAACCGAGAGTGATTGCGTATCATTTTTCCTGTGCTTTTTGTGAGATAGAATTATGTTTTATGGAAGGTAACATTATATTGCCCTGTTTGCCCCATCCATTTAGATATTTTTATGATGTCTCGGGTAAATGTTGCTCATGTTGCATTGTTTACTATGCAGGTCAGTATAGCATGAGCTCCCGTTCAGAGAGAACGAGTAACACAAGATAGTGTTGCCTGCAAATGAATAAACAAGGCCTTCTGTTTTTATGTTATCTTCCATTGTCAATTTCGATGGGACTTGGTCATCATTGATATCTTCATGATATTCCTTGAAACGCGTATACGCGTATGCGCGGAACAATAGTGTTTCGGCATTAATTTTACCGAATTCAAAGCTTAAAAGTGGTGATTACACCAGACTACCTCAAAAAAACTCTAAAAATTATTCACGATAATCAAGGAATGAAGTTAGAAGCGACACACACGTCTAAAGATGCGGAAATGCAGAGTAATTATGATTTTGAATGAATATTTGGGCAAAACAAAACAAGAACATCAACGTGTTACTGACTCGATGCACAAGCGTGATGTGACATTGAGTCAAATCAAGTTTCAATTGTTCTCTTATTCATCGTATTTTCTAGATCTCTCTTTCAGCGATCATTTTCGGTTTGCGAATCTCCAAAAACATGGTTCAGAGAAAACGATTTTCGTCAAATGACGATATCATTGCGGAAGCTGAAGCATACTTTGAGGATCTTGAGAAAGCTTCCCATAAAAAGGCATCGAATTTTAGAGAAGCTGATCGCATCACTGTATGGAAAAATTATGTTGTTGTTGGCGAATTTTCTTTGCAAAAAAAAGTTTTTTCCTGCTTATTTCCTGAAATTAATGATCGATGTATTATTGGATAAGCAAAAGTTTTAAATAAATTTTGGTTTTTTATTAGAAGCGAATCAGTCGGTTTACTTTTAACTTGTTAAAGGCATATTTGAAGGTAGATGCAGTGCAAAAAAAATAGAGAAATGTTCGACAATCCGGGAAAGGATGATTCGAGATATTAAATGGATTTCTTCTTAATTAGAGATTCTTGGATGATATAAAGGGCTTTTCATAGGCTTGTCTCGGTTTTCCTCTTTCTTTCGATACAGAGAGAAAACTCTGCACTTCATAAAGTTCCAATACTTAAAACAGACAAATGCGCAAAGAGTGAAGAGAACGTTACTGTTTCTTAGGAAATGCGAATGATTTGAATGATTACGGGATACAGCTTCAAAAATCGTCGTAAGAGCCAGCGAAAAGGTGAAGTCATCGAAAAAGAAATTTAGTGAACAATTTCATATGCTTAGACTCATTCTAAATCCATGTCGATGAAATTTTTATATGTATATCACTTTATTTCGCTCACGTATATCTGGATGTTGTGAATGGAATGAAAAGTAAAGGAAACTGCACCCTCTTTACAATGCAGACTGTTAAGTATCGAGTGAAATACATTTTTTTTTTTATTTATGTATATAAGAAATTTGAATAAATATATATATATATATATATGGCCTTCTATGAATTCTTAATTGAAAGCATCTAAGGCAAGGCTTGTGGACAATAACGTATTATTTATCAATAATATGTTTATTGAAATGGAACTTAAGTGGAGAACAAGGTCAGAGATAACAATTTACTTTCGCGTATGTGCATAAATTTAATAATATATCTACATGAAATGAATAAAATACTTACCGCGGTAGCCATTTCATTATCATGAAAGTGTTTAAAATCGTTAACAAATATTCGATGAACTAATTCCGCGCTTATGACAAGTAGACGAGGCGTACGCATCGCATATACGCCCACAATATTCTCGGTACACTTATAAGATCTAAATAAATGTATCATAGGCGCGTTGCACATTAATGAGCACAGTTTTATTATCAATTTTGCCACTTACTCATAAATCTCTTGTAGCTCGTAACTCATATGGCGTTTTTGTTTCATCGGATTTGAAAAATTTCCAAAAATTATCTTTGGTTTCGGACCTTTAATGCCGCGTTTTCTCCAATGGCTGTAATTCCACATTAAAAATTTGTAAAATATTATTGCACTGGCAACGATCACAACTATAACATTTAGTGACATGTTTTGTGAGTTTTTAAAATGGACTTTCCCGCTAAAAAGGCCCGTTAACTATGAGAATTGCAATTAGAATGAATTCAGAAAAGGAAAGTAAACGTTTCGTTTCCCAGCGAAAACATTTAAGCTTTCAAGCTTTTTTCTTTTTATTTATTTATTTATTTTTTTTTTTTTTGTGTTCGTTAACAGACGATAAAATAGTTTATTATTCTAGATGTTAATTAAAGTTATATTCTACGGCGACATCGGAATGCGTTAAATCAACATAGTATATAGTTTCCTTTGAACATTGCGATGGTGGTGGTGGTGGTGGTGGTGAAGGCGGCCGCATCCCATCACTAAGCACTCTGTATCTTTCTACAGTTAGTCATATATGTTGTTTTTTCAAACTAAGGCATTCTATGGGAAATGGTCCGAACCGAACCATTTTTAACACTTCATTAAAATATCTCAAAAAATTGCGATCTCTCAGTTGAACACAAGCAAAACAAGATAAACAGATGGACAATCAAGCTTGAATCGGTTCAAAAAATGATCTTGAAAAAATGAGTCTACATAAATTTGCTTACATCTGCACAAACCTAATTCATTCTTGCACCACAAGTGGTGTAGCGTATAAAAATTCAAATAAAGTCATAGAATTGCTACGAAAAGCATAATATATGTGCGTATGCTTACGTAATACTTTAAAAGCCACAGATGATCGGCATGCGAATGTTTCTTTTCAAACGTAATGTAAAATGCTATAATGAAAATATTATATAATCTAAACAATAATAAGATTATGCATATCTACGGTGAGTATTGAAAGACGAGCCGAAGACTAAGGCAGGGTATATATACATATATATATATATATATATATATATATAGGTTCAGGTGAGAAGTGGGGAAAACTAAATTTCTTATTCTTCATCTTAGTTGTATTGAAGAATATTGAATGCAATTATCGAAAGGATTCTCTCTAATACCATATGAACTAAGTAATATGTCTTTGGCGGTTCATCTACTCTGAGATAAGGCAATGCATTGAAATTAATAATTTATTAATAAATTTAATTTCAATTTATAAGAAAACAATTTCAAACCACACGTCCTATTTTAGATACGTCTCGTTAACGCTATTGCTTAAAGCGCTTAAGCTTAAATCTTTCAAGTGAAATATTTGTCATAATGCAATTTTGCTTTGTATTCAGTTCACGTAATGCGTTGAATTTCGCTTTAATAGGAATTAACTGCTGGGACTGCAGGCAACAAATAAATGATGCGTATGCCTTCACTTTTTAAATGGTTCTATAAAAATTAGTGCACATCTGGTAAAAACGATATTAAACATAAAATTCTAAAATTTGCTTACATTATAAACAATCTTTGAATGCACAAAACACACAAATATATTTACATAAAATATAAGAACAGTTTGCGTTGCGTTTATATTTTATTTGTCTTTGCTATGAGCAAATAAAAGTCACTGAATTTCTTCGGGCAACGATTGAAAATCTAACCAACACCTAACCATTGGAGTGTGGACAAGAAAACACTCATTAAATGTAAATTAAATCCCTATGGCTAAACTGACGTACAATTTCAATCAGAGTTGCTTTTATTTGAACAAATTCGAAGTATTTTACAAAAGTTGAATAAAAATTAGAAAACCTTACTCGGGTAGATGCGAGTGTCACAGAAAACACAGTTATCTACGTATTTTCGAACAGCTTCGTTTGCTAGAATAAGAACACGTTCCCGTTAATATTTATAAGTATAAGAGATCGAAATTCTGTAGAACTTCAATTTGAAAATCTATAGGAAGGGGTTTAGTTTTTCATGAAACCGTAAAAGAGTTCGGATTTCTTATATTCGTTTGTTGTGTTGTGCGTGCAAGATCATATTGATTTTTTAGATTCTTATTCTTCTTCTCATATTTATTTCTATTTTGATGCCTGTGTCTATTCCAATGACCCATTCTTACACTTAGATAGTTAGTGCTATATGAGCAATCCGCACTGCAACTTGATAGATTGATTTTAGTCGCCCATGCCCTTTGCCCCGTCAGTTTCAGTGTTCTTATGAATCCCGTCACCTTCTTTAGTACGAAGCTCGATATAGTATTTGGTGTTGTTAAGTGTTCGCCATACATCTGGTGTGTGATTCCACAGATGGCTCCGCATTTGCATAAGATATGATGGAACGTGTCGTTTGTCTTTCGGCAAAAGTTGTGCGAATCGATGTAAGAGATACTTTGCTTACTCTTATTCTTATTTTTAGGCAAGCATCGGTTTCATTTCCGCAAGAGTAGCTGAGTAGGTAAGAATCGCGACTGACAACGCAGTGTTTGCGGGTTTAAATCTGAGTGCGTCGTAGCTATAGTGGGTGTTCGGTCGGTAAAGACCTAACACTTACCGATAAAGCACACAGGCGCACTAAGTTGCCGCCACATCGCTTTATCGTTCCCTTTTTGCATTATATCTTCTTTTCGGTCCTCATCGTGTTACACGAACACCGGATATCCCCTAAATGGGTGAGTCATTAAATCATGTTAATGCCAAAAAAAAACCAACTTTTCATTCCCTTTGAAAAACAGAGATCTTCTCAGGTTAATTGTTACTGTGGGCGTGGCCTTTCGGCCAATTTGGCCCATTTTCAATATCAGCCTGCGTGCAAGAACTCTCAATGTTTCCGCCCAATTTGAAGTCGATAGCTTCATTTTTGCGGCCAGCAGAGTGTTTGCAACAGGCGGACAGACGGACAGAATTTGATACTGATCAAGAATATATACCACATACCTTATGGAGCCTCTGCAGTATCCTTTTGAACGCTGCAAATGTTTTGATATAATGAATATACCGCCATCCTTCGATTGCGGGTATATAGAAATATTTTATATTATAGAGAATTTTTTAATGCACAAAACACACAATTACATTTACATGGAATAACGTATGAATTGAAGAAAAGTTTTATTGCGTTGCGCTTATATTTTGTTTGTTCTTCTTCTTGCACCGAACAGCAGCTGCTAAATTTCATCGGACAACGATTGAAAATCTAACCAAACGCCACCATCCAGACGTGGAAAATAATATTCATCAAATTTATAATCACTACGCGTTTTTGGATTCACTTGTACGCTAAATTGACGTAGAATTTCGATGAGAGCTGTCTTTATTTGTATGAATCCGAAACGCACGCCTGAAAATGCTTATATTGAGAATATTTTACAAAAATTGAATAGAGATGGGGAAAAATTTACCCGGACATATGCGAGGACCATCTCCATAGCCCCAATAAGCACCCATGTCCATGTATTTTCGAACACCACCGTTTTCTAAAAGAAAACGTTCCGGTTGATATTCATAAGCATTCTCATAGACACTATCGTCCATCATTATATGATAATGAGGTATGATAACCGTTAAATCTTTAGGCACTACAAGCGATTGACCATTTTTGTTTACCATCTCGAATGGTTGGGTACACCTCTTACTCATAAAAAAAACGACCGGAAAGAAACGCAAAGTTTCTGCAAAAAAAAAAAAAAAAAAAAAAAAAGAAAAGAAGAAAAATTGCAACAGACAGAAAATTGGAAAGCAAATCGTTATGCTACCGTGTATGCAAGCATTCAAATAGTCGAGCCCCGAAACTATTTCAAACACTTCCGTTTCGTCTAAACTTTTCAAAATTTCTTCTCGGAGTTTTTGCTGTTTAGCTGGGTAACGAGCCAGCTTCATATGCAGCACATAAAAGAAGATTAATTTTATATAATTAATTACTTTTTTTTTTTTTAATTTCTTACCATTAATAAAGTATGGGCCAATACTGAGGCCGTTGTCTCAAAACCGTCCAATAAGAAGGTCATAGCATGTGCGGAAATTTCTCTTAAATCTAAATTCTTTTTCGCTTGCAATTCGAGTAAATAATTTAGAAAATCAACTCGCGTAGACAATTTGTCGTCCGATTTCCTTAAATTAATGGAATTTTCCATTAACTCGTGAAAGTAATGCTCAAATTTTTCGGTAATAAAACGATGTTTAAGCCATTTGTTTAATTTGGGCAGGAAATGGTCTATGACTTTATGAAACGAACTCACTTCGACCATGTGATCTTGCATTCCCATTAAAGGTGATACGGTTTTCGAGAAGCTATCGCTTTCTAAACCCATAACGCAATCGGTTATAATATCGGCGGTGAAGCGAGAACAAAGCTAAGTATCAAATGAAAAATATTACTACGAATATTAATAAGGATGCACTCGCAATTGTTAAAATCTTACGTTTTTCGCATCTATGCCTTGAGTTGAAGCCAATTTGATTTCCTCCTGAACATAGCATACTAAATGTTTACAAGTCTTCAGCGTTACCGGAAACATGGCCTTGATCTAAAGTAAAACATATGATAAACATAATTGTCTTGTGGTCTGAATTGGAAAGAAAGAAAAGGAAAAACTTTTGGCGATCTTTTTGCGATCCTTTTCTTCTCTCTCTCTTATATACATGTTAACAAAATCCGCAACAAAGGATCGAGATTTTCTTTCCTACCAGTCTAACAGCTACACTTACTCAAAATAGCTGTTTATTTTATTTTTGTTTTTTTTTTTTTGTTTTATTAGAAATTAATTTTTGCGAATAGCTCTACTTAATGGAAAGTAACTTTTACCCGTGCAGCTGTTAAACCACCAGTTAATTCTGTCCTTCTTTCCTTCCATTTAGAACCGGTGGCGATGAAAGGATTATTTGCAAATAAAAAATCAATTCGTTCGTCTATCTATTAAAAAGAATTTAAATCAAGCGAATCGTTGCATAACGAACTAAGTGCTGGCTTACTGTCCTTGACATCTCATTGTCATGAAAATGTTTAAAATTTGTAACGTAAACTTCTCTAGCCAGCTCTGGCTTCAATATCAATAACTCCGGATTGCGATTGTTGTATATGCCCACAAAATAGTTTGCATCTCTAAAAGCGCTATAATCATCATAAATACGTAAGAGTATATATAATTTCAATGATTTGTAAATGATAATGTGGGACTAACTAACTTACTCATATATCTCCCAAATATCGTACATTATGTTACGCTTTCTCGTTATGGCGCTGGGTAAATTACCAAATATTAACGTTGGCTTAGGTCCATTCACGCCTCGATTTTTCCAAAAATTATAATTCCATGTTAAAAAAATGTAAATTAAAGCAATTACGCTCAATAGTAGCCAACACGTTATCAAAAAGATCATATTTTTCCGGTCTTTTTTTTTAGCGCGTACTGCACAAGTTATTTGAAAAGACACATTTAAATAAATATATTTTTTAATAAAAAGTGAACTATTTTATTGGACGTCCGTGTATGTGTGAGATGTGCATGTATTTGTAAAAAAAATTAAATTATATTAAAAAGCTCACCGTATGTCGTAGATCAAAAACTCAGTAACAAGGAATCTGTACAACTATATAAAATGTAGGATATTCGAATCGAAATTAAATCCGTATAATTGTCATAGCGTTATAGTGGCAGCAAGTGAAGTCAATCAATCAAGTCATTCCTCGCTCTTCTAAGAAACTTTAGATATGCTAGTGTTAAAGGCATAAACTCAACTCGATAAGCGAAACATCTTCAACATCTTCTGAATAAATACAAACACCATATAAAACGTCTCGTTCTTTTCAGAATAGGTAGGCTCTTCGAAGAATTGTAAGCCAATCTTTGATAAAATAAATGAATGAGAGTAAATGCTTGGCATAGGCAAGGCTTGGTATCGATCAATACTGATGGAAAGAAAATTCAATTAGGATTTTTTCAGAAATTTCTCTCGTTTCTTTTTATTATTATTATTCATATAGAGTTTTATAGGGCCAAAGTCAAAGAAATCGAAATCAATTATAGGTGCGATGAGCCGTAGCAGCAGCAGCTGAGAGAGACAAGATGGTTAGGTTAATTGCTTCTAAAAAAATTTATATATATTTATGATATTACAGTCACTAAGTGCTCTCAACATGTCTATATCCACCATCCTTCGGAACGGAACGAAAGACTCGTTTCGTTTTTACTTGCCTTCTCAAAGACCTTTGCCAGATAAGAAACTTCTCAAAAAAAGTCAAGTTATATAGAAACTCTAGTGGGATGATATCTACGCAAAACGTTGGCCCAGTGACCTGTGAAAATATTGTAATCATTCATAGCTGGAGGTACGTATTACATTTTGTTTCATAGTAAGCCATTAAACATGGGGCTGCGTATGATGGGTTTTCAAAAACCAAGATTGAGAGGGAAACGAGCGAAGCAAGAATTGGTTTCGAAAACTCTATATATCTATTAACGGTTTTGTGCCTGTACACTGTAGAGTCTTAATTAATTGTATACATGTATGTATGCACTGATTATGGGGTGCGCTCTTGTGCTGACAGGCAAAATAAAACTCGCACGTAACAATAAATAAAATAATAACACAATTTCGCTATCGCACACATGCGAGTGCATGCGAGTATCAAAAAGCGAAAATGAAACATTTCAATCACTGCTTTCATGCATAGACAAAAGAAGAAAAAATATGATCACTTTATTAATTTTAGTATTGATAATTGTTTTAATTGTTTTGCTTTTATATTATTATTTAATGTGGAATATTGATTATTGGCCTAAGAGAAACGTGAACGGTCCTAAGCCGCAAATCTTTTACGGAACTTTCCCGAATTTATTAAAACGTCAACAGCACATGGCAGACGATATGAAAGATATATATCAGTAAGTAAAAAGAAAAAAAAAACACTTTTATAAAATGAAATTTATCTACGACGCTTGCCTTGAATCGTGCAGAGCATCTTTGCAGAGAATGCGGTATAAAAATTGCAGATTCGACCATGAATATGATAGAGAAGATTATTATATGCAATATTCTCAATATAAAATTACATTGACTGATGACTGATGATTGAAATATCCAAAAGTAATATTCAGAAGCATGTCTCGCAAAGTTCAATTATTTGGGAAAGGCGTGAAGTTCTAACTTTCTTAAGCTTTAACGTCTTGTGTACTTAATCATCTTTTCATTTTTATGCTTCTTTCTCTCTCTCTCTCTCTCTGTCTCTTACGAGTAAGAGGCGACTTGATCTACAAAATAAAAATGCAGACGATATGGTTCGGAAGTGAAAAGTGAAATGAATATTTTTAAATGTTGTTGTAAATTATTTTCCAATTTTAGTAAACATCGATCTGAAATTTAATACAAATATCGGTTGAAGCAATTTAAAGATTTGATGACATTGGGATAGTGTATATATATATATGTAACTATTTTATTTGTTTCTTTGTAGGTTATATAAGGCCAGGGAGAATTTTGTGGGCGTCTATCTATTACGTGCTCCACAATTGATGATATTGAATCCACAGATTATCCATGATATACTTGTCAATGACTTTAAACATTTCGAAGATAACGATGTGGGGAAATTGGTGAGTAAATATCCTATCTAATTACGGGAAAGTAAAAAAGACAAAAAAATAAACAAAATTCCAAAATATAGATCAATCGCGATAAAGATCCACTAATAGCACAAAATCCTTTCATATTAATGGGCGACGAATGGCGTCAACAACGTTCTCTACTTTCTCCTGCCTTAACCAACTCCAAGCTCAAAGTTGCTTACCATATAATGCAAAATATATGTGAAGATTTAATACATTTTGTAAACGAAAACGATAGCCTCCATCATTCTGGGCCATTGAATGGCAAAGATGTATGTTTATTTGCAATACATATACATAAATATTCTTCTCTTACCTCTTCTCATCAGTTAGCTTTGCGTTTCACTGCTGAATCCCTTAGTGATTGTATTTTAGGTATTAAGGCTAACAGTTTTAGCCGTTCATCCGCTCTACCCATAACAGAAAATGTGCGTAAATTTGCTGAGAACAATACCGCATTCATTGTTTTCAGCATAATGGTCGGCTTATTTCCAAAAATCTTAAGTTTTTATAAAGCGAAATTTTTCCCTCATGATTGTGAGACTTTTTTCATGGATCTAATGAGTAAAGCATACAATTTACGAATTCAGGATAACACAAATCGACCAGATATACTTAATTATTTGTTGGAAATTAAAAATCTATATAAATTGCCCGAGGTGAATATGTATTCGCATATCATGACCTTTCTAATTGATGGTTTAGATACGACGGCAACCGTTATAGCGCATTGTCTTTTAATGGTGAGTAAAAAATTCTTCAAAATAATATTGAACGCAATTAGTTTGCAAAACTTTTAAGATTTTAGCTAGCTTTTGAAACTGAATGTCAAGACAAACTGTATAAGGAAATAATGGAAGCTGCTACGGAAAATGGAAAACTAAGTTTCGAAAAACTTAATAGTTTACCCTATTTAGATGCTTGCATACACGGTAATTGCGAATAATATACTTAATATAATGTAAATTGAAATTATTTGCATAGAATGTTTACGTATTTATCCACCCGGCCTATGGGCTACGAAATGCTGCACCAAAGCATACAAGATATCTAATAAAAATGGCAGCTGTTTGCACATACGAAAGGGCGAAACCATTTTAATACCTATTTATGGTATACATCATGATTCGCATTATTATGCGGAGCCGGAAAAATTTCGTCCCGAACGATTTCTAATGCGGCAAAATAGCGTACGTTATTATAAAAATAAGGGACAATATTTAGGTTTCGGAGATGGTCCCCGCATATGTTTAGGTACGTTGCGATCACTTAATTGAACTCATCATTTTCATTCATCATTTCAATATTTTATCTATATATTGCTGTAGGTATGAATTTTGCTTTAATGCAATGCAAAGGCGCTGTGTCCGCGTTGATTAGAAACTTCAATGTAAAGGCGAACACAAAAACCAAATCCTCATATAAATTGGATGCAAAATGTTTTTTGGCCTCGCATCATGGCGGTGTTTGGTTAAATTTTCAAAAGCGTTAATAATACCAAAAAAAAAAAAAAAAATATATATATATATATATATATATATGTAAATTATTTCTTTTAAATACATCTGTTTATATTATACTATTATAATTATTGAATCTCATTATTTATGTATCGGTATTGTAAACTATATTATTTGTATTAATGTTAATGTGACCTTGAATTTTGATTATTTACATGATTTTCGATGATTTTGATATCGTCGTTTCTTCTCAATATATTATTAGTGTTTCAATGGAAGAGAAATTTATTTTTGAATTTGTAAGTTTTTCAAAATTTACGGCCGAAATAGTTCACGGTCATTAATAAAATCTTAAAATTTGTTATGATTATAATTTTTTCTTTTCTTTTCTTTTCATTTTTTTTTTTCATTTTTTTTTTTTTTTTTTGCCCCAAGTCATTAAAATGTTATTAAACAATTAAAAATGTATAGGGAATATCCATTGAGTAGCTACTTAAAAAATAAAACAACAAAACAACAAGTGTTTTAAAGCGCTATCGTCTGGTCCCAGCGCTCTAAACGAAGTCAATAAAAAAAGCGATATAAATTAAATAACAAAGAATGTAATTTATAACGAATCTTGGACTCACTATCGCACAAAGTTTTTGTAATCGACAACATTTATCGTAAGAGTATAATAAGTTTGTGTATATGTATGGAACGCTCACAACGATTGATCCACCTCTCATTACGCCAAACGATTCAAAATCACTTTTTCAGTTTATCTGTCTGTTTCTCCAATGAATAATTCTAATAAAATTTGGTCGAAAGGCAAAGGCTCGACTTTGAAAAAGTTATTATACGAAAAAGCTTTTAATATATCTAATATACCTAACTCTTAAATGGCATGAATTTTTACTTAAAAGAAAAAAAATAAAATCAACCGAAGCGTATGAGGATAGTTAACGAGAAAACGTGCGCCCCCGACTCATTTCATGGCTTGTCGTTCTGCTACAGAACTTATACCACGTTATACAGCTTTCGATGCTCTCTTACTGTACGCAGCCGGAATCATTCTTGCCATTGGGCCATGCCGCACGTCCCGGAAGGCCATCCAAATACTTTCAATAATACTTTCCAATGTTGTCGTTACATAGCTCACAAGCGACTGCGCCCCAGCCCTCTTAAATATCGCTCACCATCATGCGTTCGATGACCACAATAAAAGAGAACCAAAGCGAGAAAAGAAATCCGTTTTTCCGATTCATCTCTTTGGGCTCCCAATCGAAAACTCGCCGCCAGATTATAGATAGTAAATCTTCTTTGCCGTTGATTGTGTAACAGTCGATGTTTATAGGGAGCACCACGAAAAGGTGACGATTTCGGTACGTCTATGATCGCCCCAAAGGGATCCCATAGCTCTGCTCCCCACATACGTGGATACAAAAATCCGTAGGTGGACGGCGTTCATTTCCATTTTTATTCTATTATATGTTATAAACACTTGAGCAGACGAATAAGCAAAGAGTCTCGGCTAACAACTGAGTGATTGTGGGGTCAAATCTCAAGTGCGATAGTGTTTTGAATAAAACCGATAGCCCTAGATTGCTGATGATTTAAGGCTTTAGTCTTTCGAATAATAATAATAAAAAAACGATACATTATATGTTTATCATTTATCTATAAAGTAGAAAGGAACATTTCTGCATTTATAAATTTTTTTAGATTTATGTGAAGCGTTATATAAATAAAAACTGGAAGGGGAAGGGTTCACTTTGAAAATGTCACACGTTTCCAGATGGACAGTTAAATAGGTTTATATACAAAAACTTAACAATAACGTGCAGTCTGATACTTAGAAGTAACCATTTTTATCGAAATCAATTCAGGCTGTCAATAGCCGGTACAGAAGATCTCTATTAGCAGAACATAAAACATAACTTTTGAAAATTTGTTTAGAGTTTCTTTTAAATATCTACAAGAGAGCTTCGAAAGTTGACGTTCTTTAGTCCGCCCCAAGGGTTCTCAATGGGACTGCGATCGAAAGACTCACGTGAACATTCAATGACATGCAAGTAATGCTCCCGGAACTACGCTTTCACCATCTTGAATCAATATTTGAGGTCATTACCCTGCTGAAATTTTAATAGTAGTGACTGATTTCCTTCGGCTTACGGTAGCATTACAGTTTCCAACAAATTTTCTCATACAAAGCTCTCCGTAGCATTTTTTATGAGATGCCTCAGACCGATATCCTCGCAATACAAGCTCAAAAAATCACGATACCCATGCTATAAGCTTTCCTTCACTGTTTTTTAGTAAATCCAACGTGGAATACTTTTCTTTTTGATCGGCGTACCGCGTTCCGCTCGCATCATTTCCAAACAAATGTATGTTTCTTTCGTCGCTCCAAAGTATGTTTCTCTATTTCTTTCGCCTTCTGGTTGGGCTTAAGTAAAGTCTTTCCTCCTTTTCAAATTAACTATTCTGAGCAATGGAACTTTCCAAGCTAGTCGTGCTGATAGATTGATGGCTAATAATCGTCGATGAACAGTTCGGAATGATACAATATTCCCCCTTTCAGTGAAAATTATTGTAGACGATTTGAATAGATCTCGATTTACTAAAATTACCATGCGATTATCGGAACCCGGAGAAATCTCTCAGTACTTTTTTCGCGGGTTTAAGTTTTGTGATCGATTTAGAAAAATTGAATTTCTTTAAATTGATGGACAGAAGTCGCAAAGTAATAATGTTTCAGCATTTTAAGTTAATGTGGAAAATTTGGATCAGATGTGTGAAATTTTTGAATCCTTTCCTTTGCAATTCTTCCCATGAAAAGGAAGCGTTTGATTTATAACAATAATTTAATATAAAAATTGACTGTACATAATTTGGGCCATATACGCCTATTTTCTAAGCATCATCCCCAACAAGCCTTTATGTGACCTCAAGGTCTAATTTTTAATACTTCATGACGACAGTATATGAATAATAAGAATAATAAGATCTTTGACAAGATAATTAATTTTGATATATTTGGACCATGTCAATTCACGTTCTAGATACCTTTCATATAAGAGTTCTCAAGAAAACTCTAAGATATATTTGGAAATGGGATGTAATTTTCGGTATTTTATCACGAAAATCAATGAAGAATTGTATTAGGCAAAGTGGTGTTAGTGTTAGTGTAATGGTCCGCCTTGCCAGAGAGAGCTTAATGTTTTTACTTGTCTCATGTTGCTCTCTGCAAGATAAGTTCAAAGATGAATTTTCTTTTCTTTATTTTCTTTATTTTCGCTAGGTCAAGTTTGGAAATGGAGAAAATTCCATTTAAACATTTAAGACTTACAAACGGGCCGATATAGCTATTATATAGTTGCTCTTACCCTTGTGCTAATAATTCAGAATTTTTTTAATTGAATTTGATAAAAAAAAAAAGGAGGAAAATATTTCAAAGTATATCCGGGCCGACTCTTCTTGCAGTTCCTACATCTTCTTCTGGGCTTCTGAATACAAGAATGACGCCTACTGTAACATGCCCTCTTTGAAAAATCTTCTCTACAGCTTACTATTTACAAAAATCTCTGCACTGGAGAAAACTGAAGAGTAATCAGTCTCATACAGTGCGCTAAATATAATTCTAGTAATCAAATCAATAAGTCGCATCAATGTGTTTAGCTACAAATGACAGCTGGACTGCGTTAATTCATCCCAGTATCTGCTTGATATTCGCAATTTGGTCATTTATTTCTTCTGGTGCCTTCTCCGCTCGATTATTTTGTGCTTTTTAACCATTTTGTAAAGCTTTTTTTTTTTTTTTTTTTTTTTTTTTTTTATACCGCTCATAGTGTAGATAAACTTAAGCATCAATTCAAGGCTGTCGCTAAACGTATAACGATAACACGTGTAACTTATTATCAAATTTATTTAAATATTAAATCAGACATTTAAATGATTTGTAGTTAAGTATAATAGCAAATAAAATCATATATAAAATGATTTTGTCTGCTAAGCGTTTAAGTGAAGCGTTTAAGAGAGGAGACAGCGAAATATACAGTAAATAAAATTATTATTCAATTTGCGTAGGCAGGTCAGTATGTCTATATGTTTATACGTCTATCATTATCTATCAATTTAAATCAAATATTTTATTTAATTATGCAACTAATTGCGGTTTATAACGAGGTTAGGTTGATTAATAAAACTAATCAGTTAAGCGTCGTGCTGCACGTATAGCATTTGATTATTTTTTCCATTCTATTATTGATCGTTATAGATTTTCACGGTTTGTACTGTCCGTTGATCGGAGCCATTGATTATTCGTATTAACTGATGCTGTCCCATCGGTTCTTCTTGCTCCGATGTCCCTAAAATTTTTATAGTTTTTACACCATTCGCATCTAAGGTTTCCAAAATTTTCAAACTCTTCACCCCATCGGAATTCATAATTTGCACGGTGCGAACTTTAAATTTAACTGACTTAGCAACTGGCAACGTTGCTGACTTGGTGACAGCGTCTTTGTAGGAATTTTCGGTTCCATCTTTTTGCGTATTTTTGGGCATGAATGCTGACAGTACTTGACTCGTTTTGTAACGGAGCGTTGTAGCTTCTTGTTTGGATGCCTGCGGGAAAGTTTTGTAGTCTTGTGAATTTCTCGCAGAGGGTATGTAGTATTCTGACGGGATGTTAAAGTGCTCGAACTGCTTAGTTTTAACTGATGTCCCGTAGACAAGAAAGGGCCGGTTAGTAGAGGTGTGCAATCCTTCAGATGGGGATGGTGTTGCTGATGTTCGCTTCGAAGTGATACTGTTAATAGTTGATTCACCTTTAACAGCCCCTTGAGAAGAAATCACTGAATTTTTTAAAGGATTATAATATGGACTTGCATGAGTACCTTTCAAATCGGTTACCTTTGATGTATTAGCTAAAGATGATAAATGCTCAGCTCCTGTATTCAATTGATATGTGGGAAAGTGCTTTGCCGATGTTCCTTGTAGTATCTTTATATAATTTTTCTCTAAAGTTTGCCCATAAATCGGGGGAATCGCATAATCAAAACTCTTTTCAGGACTTGACACTGTTATGACGGGATGTGGGGAAGTTTCGTATTGAAGTTGACTTGGAATGTAACTATTATCCAAAAGATGCTTTTGCCGATAATGAGGAGGTCTGTTATATATGGGAATGCTTCTATCAAAATTTGGTTGTGCAGCAGTCTTTGATTTATGAAGTCTCGGATCTTCGCTGTGTAGTAAAGCTAAAGCTTCTTCCGGATGTTCAGGCTTATCAAAATCATAACCTGCGGGTAAAATTTGTAGATCATTTATTATTTTATTTGTATCGTAGGATTCATTATTCTCTTCGGTTATTTTATAGGCAATATCTGGGAACTCGTTTTTATCGGTTAACTCAAATTGCGGTTGAGTATTGACGTTTTGCATGGATTGTTGAGATGGGAGAATGGGCTTTTTATAAGTCGTAACTTCTTCAGCACTTTTTGCAGGCGATAGGTGATCGGATGCTTTTAAAATATCTTTTGAAAAACCGTTGTAGTCGGCAGATAGTTTTTCATTTTTTAGGAAAATTCCTTCAGATTGTTGTTCCACCTGAGGAACTTTATATTCTGGATTATACTTCGAATATTCTGGGAAATCGTTGTATCCTGAGTTTTTGTATTGATTTTCTGCTCGGGAAAAATGATGTGTGGTTGGAGGTAAATATTCAGAACCCTTAAACGATCCTGTTGCGGGTTCAATGGAATGTATTTCATCTTGAACGGGTGGCAAGTAATCAGGACCCCGGTATGATTGCGGTATCAAGTCTTTAAAATATCCATTTTCTTGCTCGATTTCTTGATGATCCACAGGTAAGAAATTTCTTGTCGTGGTTAACAGTATTTGTGGGTATGCACTCCGATGTGGTGGCAAGTAATCGACACCTTTGAATGTTGATATCTGTTTCTGTTGAGTTGGCTCTGCTGAACTATGAAGGGGTGGAAAGTATTCCGATGCTTTAAAAGTATTTAATAATGTTTTAGCGGCATAATCGAATTGAACGCGATCCTCTTTCGTTGCAGGTAACGACGAAAAATATTCCGAATTTTTAAACGACGATTTCTGTTCTGGATAGGTTGGTTGCGATTGTTTCGATGTATAAGCAGGAGGCAAATGTTCAGATCCTTTAAAATTATTTTTCAATTCATAAGGAAAGTAATATGGTGGGAAGTGATTTTCTTGTTCAGTTTTTAAAGGATAATTGACGTTAATTAGTTGTACATTGTTCACTCCTTGATGAGTCAAGTGATAGTTGTTACCATTTGGAAAAGTTATTTCAGGAGAATGATTTTCCTTCGAGTTTTCCAAAGGCAAAGCACCAATCTCATATGTGGCGGGCTGATGCCTATTTTCATAATGCGGTCTCGTTGCATCGCGTAAATGAAAATGGTCGGGTGCTCTCTCAACGTGCAGTTCTTGATTCGTTTCATAGGGGCTAACAAACTCGAACGTTTCATATGATTGATTACCGTAAATAGGCGCTCGATATACTTGCTGTTCCCGCGATGTATTACTAACGTCTCCCTTAGGTGGTAGATAAGTTAACGATTCTGCTAAATAAATATCGGCCAACACAAGCGGTATCAAATAATATCCGATAAAGTGGCTCTGCATAGAAGTAAATGTATAAAAGTATTACATAAGTGTTTGTGTTAGCATTGAAGTTTCAAAAATAATACCTTCATCTTCTTTGGTAGCAATGAAATGTTTTCAACTCCGGTGTTCAATATGTAATGATCGCCATAACTGACCTATCCGCACAATTTATACTAAACAAAATTTTAAAAGCGAGCATTGAAATCAAAATCAAAAACAAACACATAATATATGTACGAAATTAATGGTAAATAATTTAATGAAAAGATTTCTGGTCGTATTTAATGAATTCGTCGTTTATTTATTTATTTATTTATTTTTTTATATTTTTTTTTTTTTTTTTGGCTTCTCTTTTGAAACAAAAGTAAACTTTGTAAAAATAGTTAATTATAAACATATTATAAAGAATGCCTAAATGTTAACCGGTTACTAAGCTCACTTAATACAAGTCTTAAGTAAACGATGCTAAATAATCGGAATAAGCTACACACCATGATTTATCTTTTGATTGCATTTTCAGGTGTATAAGTCGTTGAGAATGCTTTCGAAGTTTGCGATGCAATAAAAAAATACAAACTCATTAAGAGCGCGCTTATATTAACCGAATCGATTTAAGTCTATCAATCCACAAGCTATTTGATCCATTACGTCTACACCGAAGAAAAGTACAACTGACGCATTCTCCATAAATCTGATTTCTTCACTAATTGGCAAACAAACAATGCTGTCTTGTTAAAAGCATGTGATGAAAACATTTCCTATTAAAAGTGGACGACCAGGATACCATTTGTAATAGTACCGTTGATCGCGATCGCTAAACAGTAAGTACAAGGTCGTAACAGTCGATATTTGTGTATATAATTGCATATAACGAAAATCTTACGATATTACGATATTAATATATAAACACTGCAAACTTATTTATCCGCAAAGTGACTAAAATAAACGTAGGTTTTATTATTGGCAATGATTTTATATATCGCATGTGATGGATTGATGGCTTAAACGTCTGATTCATTCTTCGCGAAATTCTGTACTGTGAAAAGCTCGCAAGGATTCCCAGATATAGAAGATGGCAAGCAATGGGCAAATTTGGTTTATCGTGAAATAATAAATTTCCTATCGATAAATATCAATTGCAATATAGCCATTGATCTTTTGTGGACACATGCTTCCCTGATCTTATTAAGTAAGATATTATTTACTGATTTGTAAAAGTTCATATTATCTTTAAACGGATGTCAAGTGTTTCACAAACTTTTATTTGAAATTTTCTTGTGATACTCGATCTATAGTTATGCACGATATTTTCACTGTAGTTGACTCTGCTTTGACCCGCTTTGCAGGTAGACTTTAAACAGCATCTGAATGAACTTTTAAAGTAATTAGCTATTACTTTGAGAATTCGTGCATCCGCAAGAACGCCGTAATGGAAACTTGAAATATATGGGAACCATAATTAAAAGACAAAAAAAAAAAAAAAAAATTAGTGAAAATTAAAACTTCGAAAGGTGAATAACATTATAATAAACATGCATTGTTCGAAAATTATAAAAATAATAAAAGGCCTTATTAACTTATGCTCCCGGTTATCCGAAACCTTTTCCAATAGTTACACTTTGCGCCACTTGCAGTGCACTTAGCGGGCTTTAACAGGTTACGTCTCTAAAGAAGCTGTAAAAGAGACTCTTTTTTTTTGCGAATTTTGGAAAACATTTTCGCCAAGCATCGTTAATTTAAATGTCTTCGGGGCAAGCAATGGTAGTTAGCGCAGAATTAACTATTTGAAGCGAAAAAGAAAACACACTTAAGGGGTAAGGTTAGTGTACATTTTTCGAAAGATCAATCCTTAAACAGTCAAGAACGATGCAAAAAGTTAATCGTGGGCGTGGAAAAATTTCAAATTGACAAAAGATTTTATTTTAAACGGGCACATAAAACTTTGAGTGCGTTTCGCGAAAGGGTAAGCAGTATTTCGCTTGCTGTAAAATTAGGAAAAATTGATCTCGCCTACCTAGTTATAGTGTATTAGGTTTTAATTAATTTTTTAATTTAATTTCTTTTGTTTTCAATTTATTTATCTTTAAAATCTCTACAAAGTGTATACATTTTTGCTTAGTTACACACTCGGGATCCGTCCATCTGTCCAACTATGTAGTAAACATTCTCCCGTTCTCCCGTCTGAAGATATCCCCTACAAATTGGCAAAGAGGTTTCAAAATGACCCAACCAAGTCGAAGAACGCGCCTACAATCCCCACACGTCTGTACAACTGAAACTGAGGACACCTTTGTCTTCCGCGTGTCTTGCTCGTTGCTCAGAAATCACAATGGATACACAATATAAAAAAGTCTATAAAATTGGGATAACGGTAATAGGTATAAAACATTCGATCGCAACCGCAAATAATTTTGTTACTTGTTTTGTTGTTGTAGTGCAGATATGTAATGATAATCCAATCCATATTATGTACATAGAAAAAGTGCTTTTCAATAAACCGATCTATAAATTGATCGTTAAATAGAATCTATACTTGCTACTATTTTGCATTACAAACATTTGACAAAATTAATATATCTCCAATAATGTAAAAAGAAAAAGAAAAAATGGAAAAATGAAAAGAAAAGTGATCACAAAGGTCATCAACGCTATTATCTGTATAAAACTATTAAGTTCACATGTCTCTCAACTTGTTATTAATAAGCTACAAATGTGATTAAATGTTGGTGCGTATTTGTGTTCATGAATATATGCAAATAATTTTACTTTACTTTAGATATTTAACGTAAAACGAATTCATCTTCACATCGAAAGTTTTTCACACGAGAAACATAAAATGCGCACACAAACACTTGATTTTGCATAATAATGAAAGCTTTAGGAAATCTGTTTTTAAATCAAACCAGCTGAAGCTTACCCTAAGCGCAAATGCTTTTCACAGAAGAAGAGAATCAGCTGAGAACCATTAGACGAAGATGAAAGCTCGCTCATCATTCATAATCGTAAGTGGAAAGCGTGAAAATTTCTGCCAAAGTACAATTGTTGAAGCACTTTTTCTTACGCTACCAAAGCGCTTAAATATTACTGCAAGAGAAAAATATGATTGATATTTTGAATGTCGGCTTAACCCCTTGACGCCCTTTAGTCATATACATAGATAATTCATTTAATTTTAATTTTAATTAGCGTCATCAATGAAAAAAGATACGAAAGGCAAACTTGTTCTCAGTTTCGATTGTATGAATGTGTGTGTGTGTGTGAGTTGTAGGCGTGTTCTTTGACCTGTTTGAGCCATTTTCCAACTCTTTTTTCGGCGTTATCTTCGTTTTTCCGATTGGGAGAATATTTATCGCGATTAATATATACTTATTCAGACGGACAGATGGACAGATGAACGGACGCATATGTTTAGGTGTATTGCGAATCTGTAAGTAGTCGAAAATTTACACCGTTTATAGGGTTTTTAAAGGTTGCCTTTGCGTGTTATAAAGTTATTGCAAGAAAAGATTAAATTTCGATCTACTATAATATTGGGTAGGCGCGGTCAACTCTTCTCATTTTCATACAGATACAACAGTATCATCCAGATAATATATATTCAAATTTTGTAGATTTATCTGCTGCAGTTTATGAGTAATGAGCAAACAATCAATTTTTTATTCCTTTTCAAAACCAGAGGTGTTCTTAGCTTAAGTGGTGCTGTTGACGTGTTCTTCAATCGATTTGGTCCATTTTCAATACTGACCTGCGAGCAAGAACTCCTAATGTCTTGGCCAAAATTGAAGTTGATAGCTTAAATTTTTGCGGCCAGAAGCATTATTATAACAGGCATCAGAGAGGCGGACAGACAGGCATTAGGCAGATGTTTCAGAATTGTTTCAGAATTTAATGCTGACGATGAACATATATATATATATATATTTTTGAGTTCTTTGAAACTTTCTTGTGGGCGTTGCAAATGTTTTGACACAATGAGTACACCCGTTATACTTCGGTGAAGGGCGTAAAATTCATCCCTGAAGAGGTTCTTTTCGGTATAACATGACTGAATCTGCATGAAAACTATCTGATTTTTTAGAAAACGAAATTTTTGATGATGGGAAAGCCAATAATAGATTCATGACGCTTCACATGATGACATAGGTGATAATTAGCGAAAAGATTAGCCCAATTTCGCAACACATTTATCGGGCGAAAGGGATTAACAAAAAATTGTCAGATTAAAAGAAGATATGAATGATTGGCTTCTAGGAGTTATAGGAGGAGAGTATTTGCGAATGGCAAAGTCAATCAGATCAAGAGAGTTGAATCGTAATATTCGAACGAGCAAGACCAGAACAAACATTGAAACATTATAAAAATGAACTCCTGTAATTAATGCATTTGTAAAGGGATCTCATAAAGAAATGTAAATTCAACCTAGGTTAAGCTAATTTTTTAGAATTTTTCGGATCGAAACCTAAAATCGCAAAGTGACAATTTACATAATAATATCCTTATGAGAACAAGTAAAAACACGTGGTTCTAAAACTCCTTATACATCTCCAGGGAAATCGTCAATTTCTTTTAAAATTTATTCAGTATTTTATACAATGTGAACAACAAATACATCTTTAAATCCAATCGCTAGGTGGTTGCGAATCGAAGTCACCGTCAATACCGGTTTCTTCGGTTAAATTGATAACCTTAAAAAACATAGTTCGATCTTCTCGTTCTTCGCTACCGTCAGAAGACCAGACGTCACCACGACTGCCCCCTGAAGACCAGGTACTTCTTGTACCGCCTAAATTGATTACTTTAAAAATTTGAAAATTGGCTCTTACGCCTTGATGACTGCCAAAAGGCCGCCAACGACCGCCGTCTGTGCCCAAACTAATAACCTTTACTGGTTTAACTTTGTCATCCTTCGCTCCGCGTCGACTAGATGACCAATCCCCATCGACCTGATCGGATGAAGAGCCGCCGTTACTTCTATCAAGTCTTGCATTGCGCGAATTTTCACCACTACCTCCACCTCCACCTCCCCCACCACCGCCACCACTACCTCTTACGAAATTAATGATTTCAATATTGCCACCATTGCCTCCATCACTAATGCCACTGTCATCATTATCATCATCACCGCCACCACCACCACCACCACCTCCACCCCCGCTATCAGTTATAACATTAATTATCTTAACACTACCACCACTTCCACTCCTAGTGGACCACTTGTCACCTGATGACCAACTCCTTTCTTCTCGCCAAGTCATTACAGAGGTCACATCAATTAATATTAAATAAATGTAGACCTAAAATTAAAAAAAAAATAAAATGTTAAACATGTAAGAAAACAGTATTTGCTTTGGTAAAAACCATGATTGACGGAATATTGACAATTGCTGACACAAACACATTCTTTACACAAACACTTTCTTTTGCCATAGAGTCCCGTAATGATGGCAACAAATATGCTTTTTAGTATTTTTAGACATCAACTGCTGCATAGTAACATGATCCGACATTGTTGCCGCACGAGAGCGCCAAAAGACACTCATCCTATCCTATATGAATCTAAGCATTTATTTCTTTGTAGTGGTAATAATTAAATTTATTCTATCTTCTTCTTATTCACTTCCTGTATTGCTCCTGAACTACTTGCTAGGTCTCCTATTTTCGCAGATAGAGTGGAGAGCAAGACAATGAAAAGCGTTAACTACAGTCTGACAATAGCTTATGAGAAATGTAGATATGCATTACTCCACCAAGAGGGACACGTTTCATCGTCTCACCAGTGTATTGTGAAAAAAATGTGGTATCAAGCTTAATCACAAAATCCTGGACTGCAAGCAAACTTGTCGTAACACTTTTGCTTTAACTAATTGTTAAATTATGCTCAAGTTTTCTTAATTATTTGTCAAATTATTTCGTTTATTCTTTTTATTTCGTTAAAGCGCACATACTTTCATACTCTTGATAGTGTTTTAATCAAATTCTTTAGACACGCTTGTTTGGTTTTTTTTTTTCGCAATTTGGTGAACCGTAGAGGTAGTGTTTATGAACTGGCAACCTGTGGCACATACTCCAAACTTTATATACCTTAAGCAGTGTCAAATCAATTTTTCTATGCTTGACAGCATGCAAAGATGACAAGAAATTATGTTTTGAGATAAGCCAACTCCTTAGTGTAGGTCGCAAAAAAAAAAAAAAAAAAAAAAAGAAAGGAATAATAAAAGCTTTTTTATCTTTCTTATAACAGGGAATGTTGTATTGGGACGAGCGTTGGAAACGTAATTCCGTGAACATATCTTTGCAAGCGAAGCCCTCATCGCGAAACCTTCTCAAACACTTTTCATGAAAGGGATTTCTATTCACAAGTCTGTATAAATGGTTTGGTTCGTTCATCGCAAATCGTTGAATGTTGCAAACGATATAACAAAATCAATACACTTCTGTACTCGGAATGATAGACATCTTCGCTGCACGTATTTACAAGTTTTTCCAGTTACGTATATATTGTACACAATTCCACTTTGAACTGGAGTCTAGTCCATCGTAATAGATTCAAATGCAGAGCTCATAAGCTCATGAAAATTCAAACAAATTCGTTTCAAGCTTTCCAGATACGAAATGCTTTATAGTTTCATAATAGCATTGTGAGATGATAATGTTCCCGGGTTTTTCCAAACATAATTGAATTGTTAATTCATTTTATATAAATTGTAAGCCTCAAACACTTCAAACTGGATCCCTGAAACATCTCTTACAGCTAATGCGAATTGCTGTCATTGTTTTTTCATTATTATCGTCTTCCTTAGTAGGCAATTGGATTGTTTGTTTTGAGGGCAATAGAGATAAGAAAAAATCAATATTCATTTGAACGCAAATGGGAAAAACTGCAAGTCGTTACAATTATTGATATTTTTTTTCATTAGTTGTATGTGGTATAAGAGCAATAACACATCCATCGTTTAAACATATATCCAATATAATCAAAATATTATTAGTTTGGGGAAAAAGAAATCCATTATTTTTTCGGTAGAAGGCTGCACTGATAGATTTCTCGTAAAGTATCGATCAAACAATTTCAGATTTATGCTCGTTGGAAAGGTGACATTTCGCAGTAAAAAAAAATTCTTTTGATGTTTTTTGTTTGGTGCATTCAGTTGTGAGTTACAGCGTGTTAAAAATGGAAGTGAACAAAGAGAAAATTCGGTACATTTTACAGTTTTTCTTTGACCAAGGGCGAAAATGCATGCCAGGCGGCTAAACTTGTGAATGGTGTTTATGGTTCCGATACTGTAACAGCCAATTATGTGCAATTTTGGTTTCGTAGATTCCGTTCAGGAGGCGTTTGAAGATAGCGATTGACCAGAAACGGCCAGAATTGGCCAACAGGAGAGGTGTCGTGTTCCACCAGGACAACGCTAGGCCACACACATCTACAATGACTCGCTAGAAACTTCGGGAGCTTGGTTGGGAAGTTTTAATGCATCCGCCATACAATCCGGACTTGGCACCAAGCGATTATCATCTTTTCCTGGCATTGCAAAATTTCTTTAATGATAAAAAATTCGAATCTAGGGAGGATTGTGAAAATCGACTACTAGAGTTTTTTGCAAATAGAGACCAGGACTTCTTTGGGAGAGGCATTTTGAAGTTACCTTTAAAATGGCAACAAATCATACAACAAAACGGTGCATATTTGACCAAAATCGGACAATCCGAAGCATGTTAAATAAAGTCCTGAAGTTCATATAAAAATAATGGATTTCTTTTTCCCCAAACTAATATAACAAAAATTGTGAGCCATTTTGCTCACTAATTTACTACTTACACTAAATTACTACTTTTATTCTGAAAATGGAAAAAAACGGCCACGAGCACCAATATTATAGAGTAAGAAAATAAAGTTCTTTTTTTTTTGGGATCAGGTTAATGGGTGTTTCTTACTTGGCCCATTTTCAAAATCAACCTGCGTGCAAAAACTTCCAATGTTGGTAGATTTATGTTTGCGGCCAGCAGAACGTTTACAGCAGATATTACATAGGCGGACAGACGGGCAACCGATTTTACGGACAAACAAATGTTCTATTATGACAGAATTATGTGGCAAGAAACCATCCGAAAATATAATACTCATATAACTTCATAATGTTACATTTCAAACATTGACTTTTTCGACATTACGCCAAAGCGAACTTACAAGCACATATGCGTATATGCGAGAGAAATTATCTTTGAAAAGTAAAGAAAGTCAGTAAAGAAATTTCAATTTCTCTAGGAAATTCACAGGCCGCCTGTCAACTTTTTAATATTAATTTGATTAAGTGATTAAACAACATGTGTGTCTGTGTGTGCGTTGTGTATATGCTCATGAATATACATATGTGGTTTTAATTTAATTTACATCGAAAATAAAACGAATTCGACGTCATCTCTGAATTTTTATTTCTCACATGAAAGAAAAAAAGGGGAAAAAGCTTGAATAGTTGTTTTCCCACAACAATGAAAATTTTACGCATCACGCGACTAATATGCATTAAGCGATAAACACACAAAAATATGTTATTTCATTGAGTTGAAAACCCCTACCTAGGATATGCACGTTTGACTAAATCATCTGGTACTGACGCCAGCGTAACTGTTAAAATAAAAAGAGAACGAATCAAGAAAGAGAATCGAAATCGGTTGAAATATTAAAACGAAAGCTCTGCAGTTGCGTATGATAAACTTGAATCGCCTGAGTGACCGAGTAGGCAAGAGTCTCGACTAAAAATTCAATGGTCGTGGGTTCTCAAATCTCAAGCGCGGTAGAGTTTTTAATAAAGCCGAACGCCTTAGATGCTAGTGCTTTTAAGACTTTAGTCTTAGAATTTATTCTCAGGCTAAATTTATAATAGTAACAATAATAATAAACTTGAAATCTTTCACTTCATTACCCTGTGCTTTAATTGTAGACCACCAACTCGCTTGTAAGAGAGAGGTAAGTAACGAATTTTATCAAGACGTGTGAGATGTCTATATAGAGAGCATAAAACCAAAGATTAACAGAATTTATAGTGATGCGATTATCGTGAGCTTGTTCTTTCTTAAATTTTTTTTAACTTTTCTTAACATACTTTTCATAAATCGCAAATTTGCTTAAATAGGAAAACGCATAACATATTCAGTATTTTTATAAACTTTCATTTAATTTACTTCCGTGTTAGCATGAATATCCTCAATTGATATGTCGGGCACAGCCCCATGTTAGATCACGCGCAAATTTTGCTCCCACCATTAGTTCCGATTGAATTTTCTCTATATTCAAAATGGCGAATACCAGGAAGTGGTAGAGTATCTCGTTCTTAAAGATCCTCCTAATAGGGATATCAAATAAGACGGCCTCGCAAGGAGAATGCGGTAAGACATATGTCATTATTCTATCTAAAATAGGACGGTCGCGGCAAACTGACGGGTTGGCTTTTGCTCAACATGTGCCCAACGTAAAATAGAAGGACTTGCAGAGTAAGTCGCGGCAAGCTAAATGTTCCGGACGCGTCAATGTAATTTAGTGTGTTTTTCTTAGAAATCCCTTCAATATGGGTATCAAGCAAAAGGAATTGAAAAGTAAAATGTGAACAGGAAAACCATAAAATATAAAAAATAATCTCTCTCTCTCTCTCTCTCTCAATTACGACAATTACTTCCTCATTTCAGCCAAATTTCTTCACATGGAGCATCTTTTTGAAGTCTGTAAAAAGCCATGGGTCGCTAGGGACTAGATCTGAAGAGTACAATGTATAAGAAGACAATTCCAAGCGTCATTCATTAAATTTAAGCATTCTTGTCATCGACTTGTGACACGGAACATTATTTTCTCTGTTTGCGATTACTGCCCTCAATCGATCTAATAACGCCATGAGATATTCGCTATTCCTTCTTTATTCCCTTTCAAGGTAGTCTATAAACATTGTACCATACTCTAAAATATGGACGCCATTGTCCTCCCACTCGATATTTGTGCTTTTGGTCGCTTTGGGCGATTTTCACCGGCTGCTGTCCGCTTAGCTAATGCTATTTTTGATTCAGCTGCGCATTAAGGAATCTATGTTTCATCCACTTTCACATACCGATACAGGAAAATCTCTTCATCTCGCTTGATCAGCTCCAAACAGCGCTTTGAACCGTCGACACGCTATTATTTTCTGATCATTATAAGCAAACACGGCAATCTCTTCGCGCAAAACGTTCCTTATGGACGCATGTTCATGCAAAAGAGTAAATTCGCTGCCTTCTGGTATCTTAAAAGCTCATGAAATTTTTACACGAATCGTTTGACGATTGGTAGGTACCTACCGGCGCGCATACGAGCTTGCCAGCAGTGTTGCCGTATATGAAATCAGATCCGAGAATTATTGAGTCACATCTTGTAAAAATTTTCTTCTTTTTTTTTTTTAAATATTTAAATAAACTATAATGTGTAAGTTGGGTTCTATGTAAGCGAAGAACAAAAATGGATTTTCTATTTTTTAATTCAATTAAACTAAAGTTTTAAATAAAAAAAAAAGAATAAATTTATACAATTTAAATTTATTCAAGGAAATTTCTAAGAAAATCTTTAAGCCAATGTTAATTTTTATCAAAATTTTCATTTTGTTTTTTAGATGTACCTACGTTCATATGTAAATAAAGCAAATTTACTCATCTCGTGCATCCTTTATGTACAATTATATTTACACTATTTACAAAGTTTACGGCATTGCGTATTTTGAATAATATGGCTTTGACTATTTAATCCCAACCACCTGATGGTTGCCAACCACCTCCACCTCCACCACCGCCACCGCCCCCGCCACCCCCACCGCCACAGAAATTTAAGACAATAAAAACAATAGCACCCCCACCGCCAACGCCTCCCGCACCCCCTCCGCCTCCGCCTCCGCCGCCGCCAGAAGACCAGCCACCGCCACCACCACCGCCAGATGACCAGCCGCCACCGCCACCACCGCCGCCGCCAGATGACCAACCGCCTCCTCCACCTCCACCACCTCCGCCCAAACTAATAACTTTTACTAATTTGATATCGCCGCCCCCACCTCCACCTCCTCCGCCACCCGATGCCCAACCGCCGGCACCGCCGCCGCCACCTCCACTAGATGACCAACCACCACCGCCTCCGCCGCCACTTTCAGTTATTACTTTGATTATTTGAACACTGCCACCACCGCCGTGGCCCCCTCCGCCACCAGAAGACCAACCACTCCCTGGCTTTGGCTTAGCCAGAACAGAGATTACACCAATCAATAGCAAACAAGTTAAAGTCTAAAAAATAGAAATGTAAGAAAAGAAAAAAAAAAAATAATAACGCATTTATAACCAATGGAAACATAATTTTATTGCCTAACATGGAAAACAAATGATGTCTTTGTTTATATGCGAAGCGATATGCTATGCATTATTTTGCCAGTAAACAGGCAAGAGAATCTTAGCGCGCAATTTTACGAAAATCAATTTCTAAATACCCAACGATATAATTATTTCTTCCTTCTATCAGTCAGATCAATCCGCCGCATGTGAAAACGAATCTGAAAGGAAGTGAATAACATATCCTTCATATCCAAACACTGCTTTCTTCAATTCTTTCAACACATCATTAGCTCTTATCATATAGACGAGCTATTGGGAGCTAATTGTATCCCTATATGCGTCCCATGTCATAGCCCATAATAGTCTAGTAAATGTTGATTTAATAATAGGTTGAAGCGCAAATGAAAAATTGTACTCTTGCTGGTAATAATTGAGTTAACTGCTAGTTGAATCTCTACTGACTTTAAGACCGCAACACTGTACTAAGCCATTGAATGCGCGGAATCTTTTATTTTTATTATTATTATAATTTTTAGACTAATGAAATAAATTCTTAGAGAAAAAAGAAAAAAGATATTGAGCACTAGCAACACAGGCTATCGGGTCTAATTTATAAAAGTACATTAGATATTGAGCCTTGTAGTTTTGGTAAAGCAATTTATTGTATTGCTATTCTGTTCTGAAATCTTTTAATTCCCCTCATCACTCCTCTAAAGGAGAACTTGGGCAAGTATACAAATATTTAACCATTCGCGGATATATATTCTTAGATATTAGAATATTGGATATATCCGACTTAATAATTGCATGGGTGTTTATAATTTCGCTAATCGTTAATATTTTCACAATTTGAATTTTCCTCCTTTAAATATTTGCATCGATCGACGTAAAACGATATATCTGCCATTGCTTATAAGGAATTATTAATCATATTTAGAGAATTTTTTGTTTTTTGGTTTTTCTTAGTCAGTTAGACACTGTTTGTTGACATATTATTGGATAAGTAACGTTCACTCTCAAATTTGATCCGTTAGCTTTATTTGTTTTACATTTTACGAATGTTGAAAGCTTCGAGGACAGATGGCGAACAAACTAATGATGATAATTAAAAATCTGTAGTTTAAGATGGTCCTGGTCCTCGTACTATCGTAAAATACTACAATGCATCCAAGACAGAGTGCAGCTCCATAACAATTTACTTCGTCAAGTCAATTTTGATAGGCTCTTGAGAACGAAATTCCAGTACAATATTACTAACGTTGTAAGAAGTCTCAATTAAAGTTTCACTATGTTAAGGCTACGTGTTTCTGTCGTCTTGGGGGATAGTGATGAGTCCAAGATGAAGAAGACAACTTCTCTTTATTAATAATTAATATCATTCTATGAATTAGACTAAATTTAAGGGAAAAAATTATTTATTTTATCCTCATTAACAATCGGCTTAAGATCATAGATAGGCCCTAGTTCTCAAAGCATATACTTTTTTATGTATATTTTACTAGCTTTTGATTGGAAAATATACTTTTATGTAAATTTAGTTAGAAAGAAATTTCAAAACTCCACCCCTTCCCTCCTCTCCCCATCTCTCTTTTCCATTGGCAATGATATCCGTCAATTATATAATAATAGATAAAAAAAGAGTGCGAAGAGAACAAACGAAGCATATTCAAATTTCTCTTTTACCCAATTTGCACTTATAGACAACTCTATAGAAAAATATAGTTCACGTTCACTTCAAATACTTTCAATTGCCAACACAATTATATTCGTTACACATTTTATGTGGAATCACAATTTTGCACTTCGAATCTTTACTTTTCACCCAAACAATTATATATACATAGAATGGAGAATAGATAAAAGCGAAACGACTTAAATACAACAAAAATATGATATTATGGATGTAAAATTTTGTGCTAGCGGTGAACTACGTGAACACATTTTATGTAAAAATGGGAAAAATTTTTCTTTTATTTTTATATTCATAGGGATTCGATGGAATTGTTTATTCAAACACATGCTTATAAACTAAGCAATCCCGTTAATTTAATTCAATGAAATCACACATACTTTCATATTATTGATGTTTTATTTATTGAAATCCTCCGAAAATCACTTTGTTTCCCTAAACTGTAGAAGCACCGCTTGTTGACTGACAACCTATAGCAGATTGTCTTAAGTTTATATACCACAAACAGTGCCAAACCAATTGGTCTTTGTGTATGTCCGTTGCTTCTATGCATACATGATGATGACAACTTGCAATCTAACAACCATAGTATTAAAGACAAATAAAGTGAACGATACCAGGTTTGTGATAGTATCCACATTGCAATTAATAGTAAAACAAAAAAAAAAACAAAAAAATTAACGAATAAAAAATCATGATTCCAGTGGAAGACGGAAAAATTTTCAACTCAGTGGTGATCATCTTGTTTGCATATGCTTTTCAAGGGAAGGAAATGTATTTTTCTTCACCTTGCATACTAGTTTTGCCAGTTAAAGTTATTAAGCCCAAAATCCTCTCTAATCCACTGTAATAAATTCAAAAGTTTTTTATTGCAAAATTAATAAAAATTAAAAATTAAAATTTATCTATGAAACTAAATTTTAAAACATTTTCAATATTATTATTTTTTTTTTTTTATTTTTAATCAATGTATGTATGTAAAACTTTTCCGTACAAATCCTTATCGTTATACAAAGTGTAATGTGGATAATAATTTTTCCAAAAAATTCATTATTTACTAAGTTAATAAATAAAATGTTTTAAAATATATATATATATATATATATATTAATATTGTTGCAATATTTTCAATACATGCATTAACTTATGCATTGCAATAGAAAAAAAAATTACAACATACAGATCACGAGCGATACAACTGAAGCTTGAAGAATCAATCATTTCATCATATTTTATAGCAGAAAATGATCTGCGCATAATCAACTAAAACTTAGCGGACTTATAACTTATGCAAGCCTAAGCAGTATGGATTGAGATTGAGATAACGTGAAATGATTATCAAGAGCAAAACTGATATACAACAAATTTTCTCCAAATTATTTCTACTCTATTTAAATAGAATTAGCGTAGTTCTATCATTTTACGATATAATAAAAAGAAAGGCTCTTAGCGACATATATTATTTTAGTGTAGTTTTTTTTGGGTACATAGATGCAAACATTTGATGATTAATCACGAGCTTACACGAGCCCTCACATATGCAATTCATTTTCATTGCATTCAAGCCACGCAAGACTCAAAGAATGTTAAGTGATATGTTAAAACAAATACAAAACAAGTAAGGAAATTATATTCGATCGTGATGGAATGATCGCTATGTACATTCGTTGTTGTTTTGGTACACATGTCCCCAACACATGTTATCTTTATCAGCCATTTTGCATTTCCACTTTATGCTTCACAATTATAAAGGTTAGATGTGTTTTGGTGTACGATGTTTTGCTATCGAAAAAAATGGATCGAAGAATCCATATTAAATTTATTGTGAAATACAAAATTGTGTGCTCCAGCTCACTTAAAATGTTGACTGCAGCGTTCGACGAGTTTATTTTGAGCAAAAAAAAAAAAGGTGGTACAAGCTCTTCACAGAACACCGCGGAGACGATGCACGATCTGGACGCCGCTATCAAGCCAACAACCGATGAAGATCTTGAAGTAGTGAAGAAAATTGCTATGAAGTTGTTGAGGATGTCGGCATATCGGTTGGCTCATGTCATGCAATTTTTTCGGATATAGTTAGCCGCGTAACGTGCAGTACGGTAATGTGCCAGCTCATACGTCATTGCTTATTCGCAATTTTTTGGCCAAAATCGACACGCTAATCATGCCTAAGCCATCGTATTTACCGGACTTGCGGACTGCAGCTTTTTCCCAAAAATGAAAAGACCGATGAAACGACAGGATTTTGCCACAATTAAAGAAAGAAGAAGAAATTCACGTATAAATAAATAAGAAAGAAAGGAAAAAAGCATGTACACATCTAGCACAGAGGCACACCCATAACCGGTACAGATCCAGGTTGCGAGTGAACCCCAAGCCATTGCAAACATACAAAAGCTTGGCAACCGCTAACACTAAACAACACCAGTTAAGTTAGTTTCAATATGATACGCGCAGGTTGCGCCTCTTAAGGATAGCTAGCTTAATAGACTTTAACGAGTTCGATATTGAGATTAAGCGATAGACATCATTTAGGATTGAACATAAAAGCTTGAGCTTGACTAAGCCTGAAGTAAACAGCAAGAATAAGTCTACGTTTGTCAAGTGGCGCAAAACAAAAGCCAACTATTTTCAGAAGAGTGCCGAGAAACAATGGGCTCCCAACCTAAACTCCTTAAGGGCAAACAGCAGAGACATACTCAAGTATTCGTCTAACTGTACTCATTTATATAGCCTTTTTGTGATGTAAGAATCCTTAAGCTCTTTCGACCACCTCTTAATGAAACCTAGCGCGGGCCTAGCTTTACTTAAAGAGAGCTCAATGTGCATATTGAAACGTAATCTTTGGCCGAATAGAACCCCTAAATCCATGAACGAATCTACGGTTTCCAGCTAGTGCAATGAGTGGTCAATACAATAATATTTTTATAAAACTTTGGCGGTGAAAAGACAAATTTTTCTATGCATCCACTTTCTCGAATAGGGTTTTCAATGCGAAACTCTCTTCAAAATATTCAAATCGGAATTATTTTCAAGAGCATTCCTCTTTGCAACGAAGCATGAAATGAAAACTATTTTAAATATAAATTGAACAAAAGAACACATGGCCGCACATCAGGTGGGTAAATAAACTTAACTTGGTTCAGAAATGATTCTGAATCTATTGGTATATTGACTATGAAAATATAAATATTTAGAAATTTTTCACTTCTATAAGCTAATTTGAAAACAGGTTCGACGTATTTACAAATAAAAAATATGAAGATCTATTGAGGGGGCATATGAGGAATATCAGTTTTACACTTAACTTTTTCGAATTCAATTTTGTTCTGTTCATATGGAAAGCGATCCTATGTGAATTTTCGGAGGATGATAGACGTACCGAAACCCTCACCTTCGCAATGCTCCCTATAAAGGGTAGCTGCCTTTCCCGACTGGCTCTCACTTATGGGAGCTGCTCAGGTACTCGGCAAAGAGGGTCTTGAGCGTAACGGCTTTTGCTCTTGGAAATCTAAAGGGGTATCAGAAGGGTACTCCCTTTTTTTGGAAATTTTATTCTTCCGTTTGATCCTCCACAATAGAGGCCATCAACCTTGGTCAGGTTCTGCCGGTACTACGAAGTGCTAGTTCTGCTGGAAATGGTTGGGTGTGCGCTGTGTGATAACGTCTTTGAAAGCATTATTGCTTCGAGAAGAGACAGTTTACTGGATGGCCGTCTGGAAGGTATCTGAGGTCCAAAGGCTAGAGAGGCTTCCGCCGCGTGCAGTATGTGATCAGCACAGCAGGGCGTAAGCCCATGACAATGTACTACCCTTCAGACTACCGGGCTGAATGCCTTCCTATCTGGCTGCCGGATACGGCCCTTCGGGGAGTATCGTGATGGCTATGGTTACTCCGAAGATTGGCGGCAAAGAGGTGTCAGACAGACCTCGGCGGCTACCAAAAATCGAGAAAATAGATGGCATCCATTTTCTCTTTAGGTACATCAAGAGTAATAGGACCTCAGTCAGTGGAGATTGTCCTACTCTTTGAGGGGCGTAGGTTGTCGCTTATCAAGTTGACTCGCGTGCACTTGGGCGCGCTGAGGTTAGTCATTTACGGCAGGTACTCAGATTAAACGCTATTGAAATCTGATACTGTTCACATCTTAGATTCTGTTTAGAAAGAATTATTTAATCTTAGCTGAAACAGTTTTTCAGTATACTGGAGTATAGGTTACAATTTATTCATTTTGAATGTTAAATTATTTTATCTGCCTTTTTTTACAATGTTTCACTTATTTTACACGATTATGTGAGACACACACACATACACACAGACAAGAAAGATAGATGGACGCACCGGCTCATACCAGATTTGCGGCCCTGGGTGAATAGGCAACATGGTGAAGTTAACTTTTATTTGACACAACTAATTAGCGGCCATGGTTGCTTTCGACCATATTTGAATAGGTTTAAAATAGAGCAGGACCCATTCTGTAGTTTTTGTGAGAGCATCGAAGACGCTGAAACATGTTTTCTTTGTCTGTCCAAAAAACCATAACGAACGACAGAGACTACAGAAGGAAATTGGAGTGTTACCTCTCCCCGACAATCTTGTGACAAATCTGTCGCACAATCTGAAAACATGGAAGGCGGTATGAGTGTTGTCTAAACGGCTACCCTCCCTGTGAAGGTTTACCTAAACGGTCGTGCCACAGGGCAGGGAATAGGAGGGGTTGTTTTTAGCGCGTTAAAGTCTCGCACTGCCCTGATGGGCGCCAATTGATGGTTTTCCACCTCACAGCAAAAAAAAAAAAAAAAAAAAAAGCCAACAAAAGGTTGTAAACGAAAGAAGAAATTTACCTTTTCCTTTCTAACATCTGAAAATGGCCATAAAAGAATTCATAAGCTGTAAGCACACACAAAGCGAATATAATCGTGTTTGTATGTACGTCCGTCCATCCGTCCTTCCTTTCATTCGTTTACACATATGCACGCCATCCGTTCGACATAAACATTCTCAGTGAATAGCATGCAATCTAAACATAAAAAGCGTTAAAATTTAATGTACAGAAAATATTAATACAAAATTTAATGTAAATATCTCCCAGGATCATGTAAAAATGATTACGACGGGCCACATGACATTAGCTACCATACAGAAGAATAATGGTAGACTATTTTTTTTTTCTGCCTGGTTGCGACAATACAATATGAGATATCGAGTTGGCGATCGTTTTGAACATAACCAAGCAATTAATCATCTTATCGCTGGAATTCGCACGTCTGCAAAGATTGAAATGGAAATATGAAATTTTCAACTTATTATTATTATTATTAATTTCGCCAGAGAAATAAATTCTAAGACTAAATTCTTAAAAGCATTAGCATCTAAGGCTATCTATCGGCTGTTATTCAAAACTCTATCGCACTTGAGATTCGAACCCACGACCATTGACTTGCTAATCGAGATTCCTCGCCTTCGGCTACTCAGGCGGATAACTTTCAACTTAAGATAGTAAGAAGGTGAGGTTGTTAACTGAAGTTCATAGAATGTACGTGAAATTGTGCGCTACGTGTCCGCAAACATTTTTGCAATTAGATAGTGAATATGAAAATTTTGCTTTGAGGTGAATGTTGCTTTATTAATTGTGCTAACCATGCTGCGGATTAACATACAACACGGAAACGAATGTTACTAAAATATGACTCTCAAATAGTATATGATGGGATATACGTGAATGTACGCTTGTATTTTGGCAAAAGAAAATTCATACAAACTTAAGTACTTTCTATCACTTGATCATTATTATCCACTGCTGCTGGCAGTGTGTCATGATGCCATAACACAATTGCAACTGCATGTGTGAAAATAGAGAAAGAAATCCAAGATGCACATAAAATCCATGAACCATCACTTTATATTTTCATAAACTCTTTTAACATTTGGTTAGTGTGTTTGTTGGTCGCTATTATGTATTGGCTGGCATAGCATCATTTTATTGCATAATTCAAGAAATTTCAAGTTTTTCTTCGGCTTTTATAAATTTCATGTTATTTATTTACTAAAAGCTTTAAGGTTTTCGCTTTTTTTCTTTCCTCGAAGAGAAAGAAACTGCACAGGCAGACGATAATATATCCAATGCATAGAAAGTTGAACGATGGGATTTCCTTTTTATTTTCTTTGACCCAATACAGCAGGAGATATTCGATAATGTCGTTGTAAACAAAGTCTGCCTGTGTTGTTCACTTGCCGGTGGCTTACATCATTTTCACTTTCATAACAATACGAAACTATCGAAGTGCATCGTAGAGTCTGGCGGATTTTCTTATTAAAGTTTTTTGCACATACATGTGGGCATCTGTTGTGCTGGAGTACTATTTTCATTGCAGGAAATTTTCTTTTTAAATCTGTTGAAATCTGTTATTATTGTCAGTTTTAACTAATTAACAGAGCTTTATGTATTTTCCCAAAGAGATGAAAAGAATGTTGACATGAAGAAAAAGGAAAGTTATTTTTAGCATAAAAGTAAATCAATTTTATTTAATTTTCTTAGGGTTTGAGGCAGTAGTGGAACTTAATGTCATAAGATGTATGTAAATTTACAATTTTTGCACATATTCGCGACTTATTGAACGCGCTTGATTTTTTTTGTTTTTACACCCATCACCGGAGGATGACAGATTTATTTTGTCAAAATGTTTGCAACGGCCAGAACGAAGCATCAGAGACCCCCTAAACTATATACATTCGTGATCAGCATCAATTTCCAAATCGATTTACAAATGCCTGTCTTTCTGTGTGTCTGCCCGTTGCAAACATCTTCATGTGTAGTTGTACAGACGGAAATGCTTGAATCGATTCGAAATAAGTTTACCTTGCGTGGTCTCTCTAAAGCTTTCTTCTGCCTACCATTTTACCTGCCATCCTTCCGGGATGAAATAAGTTCGCTTTGTCAAAGCTTTACAACGTCCGAAAGAAAGCTTCAGAGACACCAGAAACTGTACATATTTTTGATCAGCATGAAATTCTAAATCAATTTAAGTATGTCCATCTGTACGTAAATTCTGTTGTAAATATTATTCTGGTCGCAAATATGAAGCTATGGACTACAAATTTGACAGAACCATTGAAAATTTCGTGCACACAGTTTGGTATTGAAAATGAGCCAAATCGATCGAGAACACGTCTATTTTACAAACGCAATACAACAAAACTGGTTTATTGTTCATTACTCATTAGCTAAAACAGATAAATGTGAAACAATTCGAACGCATATTCTATGGACATTGTAGTCGAACTTTTACAAAAATGGAAACAATCGGCCGCGTTCGTCTGCTTGTTTATTCATCTGTGTGTCCGCTCAATTGTTTAGTATTTGTGATAAACATTCTCCCGTTAGTGGAAAGGACGGGATCGCTTAAAAATTTGCCAAAGAATTTGAAAATTATTCAAACTTTTCAAAGGACATACCTACAACGCCCACGCGCCTATACGATAAAAACTGCCCACTCCATATTATAGAGCATGAAAATTTAGTTCTTTTACTTTTTTCGTCTTTTTTTAACATAACGGTGATGAGTATAAAATATTCGGTGGCGACCAAATATACTTTTCTTACTTATTCTTTTTACAACTATCAAATATTTTATTACAAAATTCTATTATTTTACATGAAAAGTAAAAATAAATGACAAATTATGTAGAAAAATGATATATCAACCAATAAGTTTAAAATATGTTTCTGTTCCCGCACTAACCTCATAACTTGTTCCTGAGGCATTCCCCATTTAATTTGCAAACAAATAGTAATCACTTGACACCATCTGGAACATACGGTTCGTATCGCAACGTTTTAATCAGTTAACTGTATCAAGATCTTTACCGATATACCCGTATGCTCCTCAAACACTACAGTATATGTATCAGATGCAACTAATTTACAAAATGACAAATATATTTTCTAAAATACATTATTATGCCAAATGCACATTTATACTGATTAAATTTTATGAAGAAATTCACCAAGGACAGATGGACTCATCATTACGGATATATACATCATACACAGTTAACTAGCTAAACTTAATTTCATGCAATTTCGCACTGGAGTTTACGTGTTGCGGTAATTATGTACTTGTTCCACAACGATCAAATACGTTACTCATTTGGAAAACTTTTCTCTTATTCCCAAATTTCACGCAAGACAGCGAATGCACTTCCAAAACCGAAATAAATTATTCTACAGATACAAAGTCTATTTGTCAATTTGGCCAATTATTGACCACTGCGTTAGAATAAATATAAAATAAATAAAATTACGAGATGGGTCCACTCTTATGAACTATTAGTAAGTTGTGCGGAAATATTGTAAAAGCTATAAAATTATTTTAATGACGATCGCAAATTTTGAAAAGGAACGAAAAAAAACAACGACGATATAAAAAGCTTGCCACTGCTTATATCCTACAACTGCAGAGAGTTGTTCAAGATCCCTACGCAGCAAATAAGCGCGAACATTTACATATCGTTATCATCAAATTCATTCGTACTACGGTGCTCATGTATCGATGTTACTCTATACATATAGGAGGGTATTGTACGCGACGAGTATCCATTATCATTCACAGTAAAGGGGGAACTACCTGGTGTGATGTTGTGGGAAGTTATTGAATATTGTTGCGATCTTAAATTTGGTGCGAGCAGTCGTTGCCTCAGTCTCATTAACGAACGTCGTGAGGTAGATGGTTCATTGTCAACACTAGGCGTACGATTATTCGTTGAAGCACGTAGACTTCGAAACTTATAGTCCCCACTAGCATGACTATATTCGTCTTCTTCGCTTAATATGTCTTCATCGGCATGTCCGGTATTGCTCTTACACAGATTTTCCTCATTCTCGCTTTCATCCATGCTAATATCACTATTTTCGTCATCAGCATCGGAATATTTTAAAGATTCGAAAAATAAAACTTCATGTTTTAAATGTGAGGCTCCCTCCACAAAAGCCGCAAAACGACAAGGATCGCGTAATTTAGTCATCATCTGTATATATATATTTAATATGTAAACATTTTTTGTGCAATTCGTATTATTTCTAGATTATTTACCTTCCACTGATTGCAATCGGGGCTAGCCGCATATTTCCGAAGATCTTCCAAAGCTTTGTTTGTCTCAATAACACCCTGCTCATCAAATTCTTCAAGTGTTAGTAAACGAACTTTAGGTGGAAATTTTCTTAACCAGTAAGAGCGGCATTTATACCAAAGTGATTTCGGAAAGCACTTTGACGCAACTACGGTTATAATAAATACAGATGTTGCTTCTTCGTAAAAGCTTGAAAAGTAAATCATAGTAAGAGATGCCAACTGTAAGAGCCATTTTATGATGTTCTTAGAACGTTGGTTAGTTGGCGGACCCCAACGATAACAAACAATGAAAGATATTGAACCAGTTATCATTATATACCAGAAAACATAGGTTCTGTATGTAACCATAATAACTTGCATATGCTCCCATAGTAGCTGTATCATCCACAAGCCTACGGTCCAACCGCCTATTAAAATACCATACATGGCAGGGCGTCTGCAGAGATGAAAATGTATGTAGCTTATGTGAAATATAACATACGAAAGCGCTTACCTTGGTACTAATTTACTAGTCAACCATATGAGCAGCATAAACGACGAGAATACACCCAAGACAATTCCCGTCACATAATAAAATATTGCATTATGGCTTAAATTGCTGGCATATTGAAACACCAAGTAGCCTAACAACAGCTGTATAACTCGCCAAAAATCTATACGCAATATTTTCAGCTCTAAAGTGTAGGGATTCTGAGACGCCATACCTAAACAACTGGAGACAAACGGTGACAAATGCAAACGTACACGTTTTTGGGAGAATAAAGTAAAGCTAAATAATGATTGTTCTTGATTATAATGCTTTCGGACTTCCTCCGGCGTGGCGCCATCATACTGTTTATAATTGTCACCTTCAATATTTAGCCGCAACTCAACAGTTTCAAATAAACGTCTTATCGTTTTGTCTTTGGCACGATAACAAAAAGTATGCAAATTATCATCAGCGAATGGACCAAAGCTTCTCTTCGGCTTATATGTATATAATTTACCAAGCTCCAAATAATTGACTATAATTATTTATATTAGCTATTTATGTGAATTTATCATAATATTTCAATTTACCTTTATTGGCAATTATGGGCTCCGGATTTTGCGAAAGCACCGCAGCCGTAAGAAAGGTTAATATTACTAACATAAATAAAGGCATTTTGTTTCCTTTTTGATCTTTTATCTATTCGTTTCGGTATAAAGGACACTAAATAAACTTGCGAAATAAAACTTCGTCTCCACGAATGGAATCTTAAAATGCAATTACCGGTTTACTGATTTTGTTTGTCAAATTTTTTCCATTTTCCGGGCTCCTAAGACAAAAATTTATGTACTTTGTAAATGCACTTATCAAAAATTGTCAACGGATTTTGAGAAATAGAGTTGCCACACACACAATCAATATTCTGGACACCGAATATCCATGACAGTCATACTTTATTTTCAAGTGTTTTTGCTATATGTATACACAATATGTGCAAAAAACGCTTTCTCTCATATCTGTCAGATTAAGCGTGAGCGAAATAGATCGCATCTTGAGTAAGCATTGCTTATTTAGATTCAACAAAGCTATTTAGTTTCAAATAACTGTATCACCACAAAACAAATTAAGTGTCCGAAAGGTAAGTAAATTAAATCCTCGTTTTACTTCAATTGTCTAATTGATACTCTTAATTTGCCAAAGCTTGTAATTAATTCTTTATCATTAATCGTTGCATGCATCATCCTATTATGTCGATATTTTTGATAAAGCGAAAAGGATCAACAAATAAAAACCCGTAACTCTGCAGAATGTATTGATCTTATTGGCAAAAAGTCTAATCCATTCTACTAAACAAACCATAGAAAAGCAAGTAAAGTACTGTTATTAAATAATCAAGTAATGTTGAGGAAAACATATTCATCGGATATTCATTGCAAGGCAAGGAACATTGTTGGGAGATGCATTAGTATACATAAAGTTTAGCATTAAATTCACTTGTCAACAATCTAAATTGAGTCTATTCAATTTTCAAGGTTTCATAGCGTATTTTAATGGAAGACCGGAAAAGCAGATACGATTCAAAGATGCAACTCTTCAAAACATCTGTGTGTGCTATATTGTACAAAGTCCAGAAACTCGGGATTTATCTTCCGCTGACCCCACATCTTATTTTGTGGACGGTGTCGACATTGCGGTAATGGTTTCCCAATTGAAGCAATAAAAAATATTGTCCACTATTTCATATTGAAATTTATTGAAATACAAAAATATAAGGAATACATTAAAAAGTTGGTTTTTATTTATATATAAAAAAAACGAAGTGTTGATTTGCAATTGATTTTCAAACACTATATATTCTTTGTAGGTAAATTTATATGTTAATATATAATGAAAATAATAAATGAAAATAGAAGCGAGAATCGAGTTCCAAATCTTCACTTTCGAATTTACGTGGCCGAATTAAATCGTTCATTTCTTTGGCCAGCTGTAACTTTCTATCATAAAACGACTTAAGCTCTTCTTTAATTTCTGTTAAAAATTTCATCATCCGCTTTTTATTTGACAGTTTCTCCTTTTTCTGTTTTTGCTGTTTAAACAAATGCAAGGTGTCAGAGCCCAGAGCCTTTTCAAATCGTCTTTGTTCTTTCATCATAGAATGATTATCTGGCAAAGTATAATTATTTTTATTAATAACATTATATAATTATTAATATTGAAAATGAAGATTAATGCCTGGACTTACTTTCGCTTCTTACTTGGAATGTCACACTCGGCCTCGTAAATTCTCACGTCAAGGTGTCTAAACATATATAAAATACAATCACAAAATAAACCATCAATGGTACATTACAATTGTACTCACGTGTGTGTTTCATTTGGCAAAAATTTCTTTTACGGCGTCAACTGACAAAGTCGAAAAATTGGCCTATTTACAATCATATTTATTTGCCCATTAGAATTTCAGATAATTACCTGCCGCATAATGTGTGTTAGTATTTTGTGGTGCCGATTTGGAAAGCAATTGATTAATGAAGTAAAGCATTTTGATTAATGAAGTAATCCAGGTATTCCTTATAAATCAGCTGCCGGCAATGTCATTATGAAGGCAACAAATATAAAGCCACACATTCCTATTGTCTCGCATCACTTTTGTGATGAAATTTAAAAGCTTTGTGATTTTTTTGATTGTGAGCGATATGGCATTCTAGTAACTGACTTCACGGAGGAAATGTACTTGTGTAGATTGTAGAAGCTAGATGGTTTCATAACATGGTGAATGATAATGTTAACTATTGTTAATCAATAACTAAGGATTTACAAATACAACACTATAAGCAATCTATATTATTAAGAGTCAACGCTGCATAAATAGAAGGCCCTAGTAGAGGCATTGGATGTTATGACCTTCCTGCAGTAAAGTCATAACGTTTTAAGTTTTATGGAAGTATTTTATATATATGCGTTTTTTACAAGTTAATTTTCACAGGAAATAGTGGAGTAATAAAGAAATAAACACACAAATTGAAACCGACCAATTGGATACACAATAGAAATTTTCAAATACAATCATTTAAGGATGGCTTTAATGATTAACTTTCAGTATATTCTCGTCGTTTTTCAGTCATTTACAGACTCTTTAAAAAATATTGAGAATTGCACTTCATGTAAATTTATACGGAATTGCCTGTCCGAAGTTGACATAATATGTCATCAATTCAAAGAAGTTTCAATCCCAGACTGAGGTTTTTAACAGCAATTTATTGATCTTTTTTGAATCCTTCTTTAGATAACAAGCTTGTAAAGAGAGAGCGATTAGCTATGCTGATTCTCTATGATATTTGACGATAGCGGTAATGCACGATCCTTCTGAACATATGTTAATGAGCATCTTCAAATACATCGCAAAGCAGCAACTACATTTTCCACATGATACGATCGTGATAACTAACGGTATCTTGACTTGTTATCCAAAGAATTATGTGCCGATTGGTAATCATTCTGACATGCCCTCCATGCAATCCTTCCCACCTGACTTACACATATTCTGCAAACTGAAAAGAAAGTCTAGTAATGCTTTCTCTGGTGGGATCAAGTTTTGCCTAAATAAAAGCTCTTTGCAATGAATACCGCTCAGCCTTGTTGTTTACTATCAATCATTGCTGGTTAAATAATCACGGGTGACTGGCGATGCATGCAAATATTGTCTATTCATTAGCTAGCTGAAGACATAAATAATCTAAGAAATTTTAAACCTATTTCTTTGCTTTCAATCCCCATAAAAGTAATTAATATCATGACAAAGGAAAATGCTCTCGATTATTATCAATACGAAGAATTTTATTCCAGTTTACTGCTTTGCCTATGAGAAACACAGATCTGTAAACGAATTATCATTTTTAATAGCTAATGGAAAAAAGCCGTAAAGTCTGTTTTGTTCTCTTTTTTTTCAATTTCACTTCACCTGCAGATATGGATATTATAAGTGATATAGCAGCTCCATTTCTATCCTTTTTACATAAAGGAAGTTTGAAAATGGTGGAAAGTTTTTTCATTTATTTAAAGCATGCAAGCTTTATTACATCTTTAATGTTTACTGTGAAGCCTATCGTAAGGAACTAACTTAGTTTATTCGGATAGTTAATCGTTTAATTAACCAAAATTTTCTATAATTGTTATAAATTTAGCACTTTTTATATTTTTCATTTTTCTGCCATTAGTCATCGCTTAAATTTAATGTTTGATCTGCTAAAGCGTGCTATTTTCTGCTGGCTGTTGGTCTTGAATGGCTCGTTACATCAATATATTTATATTTAGTGCATTTGGTTAGTGAAAGAAGAAAGGAATGCTTTATCGCAAATACTACTATTACCATTAATTTTAATGGTTTCTTTTTGACGGCATGTAAACGCTTGAATTATTGAAATCATCAATAAGCCTAAATCCAATTAACTTGGCTCGAACTTGATGATGGCATCATAGTCTGGGAATAAAGATATTTATACAAAATATTTGCATATGAATTTCCTATTTGGTGAAGTCAATGTGGACTTTCTGTACTCAACATTTGCATGTTGATGTAAGGTTAGCCTTGATGTATTGCCTTTTCAATCAAATGTGTTGTGCTCTTATTATTTCTGCGCGGAATGGTTAATTTGTATTTCCAATTGAGAGTTACACTGCCTCCTAATTGTATGACCCGATCAATTGGTCGCATTACTTTATCGAATCTAACATAGTTAAGTTAGGCGCCATTTATCTGGACATACACACACATAATGCACGTTCCAAGCAAGAAAAAGCAATTTTACGCACGAGAACAAAAAAACGTATCGAATACATAGAGAAATTGCAGACGCGTCAAAACGTTCCAACGTTTAAAGAGAAATTTTTTACCGATTACATAATAACTGGGTTGATCCGTCTTAACAGATTATTTATTTATTGAAAGACTTACATATATTTAGTTTAATTAGTTTTAATATTCAGATCATTCCGGCTTTCGCATTCACTTTATTGTATTAGAAATAAAGAAGAAAAACGAAAGATAAGTAATGTGTTACCAGATTGAAAATTTTATAAACCACAAAAGTGATTGAAATTGCCATCGTATGCGAAAGTGTGGAAACTCAGACCAGAAGACCTTCACTTATATTCCAACATATGAGCGAGCCATTTAATTTATAGATTTCTGAAAATTTTACAAATGTTTATAATATATATGTATGTATATAATATACACAAACATTGATAAATCTATTTTATTTCCATTTTATGAAAAATTTATACATTTAATTTAAATGTCCCCCTTCCCCCATCCCGGAACTGAGATTATAAACGCAGTTTAATGAGGTCAACGGAAAAATATTGCAATTTCCATCGGCGGATAGTTTTCACCCACCAGGCGACGATACCGTTTCATTAATAAGCAAAATTGCTTCACTTATATGAGTCCCAAAGTTTGAATCAACTGTTGTAAGACTTATAAAAATTGCCTTTTTGATTGACAATTTCAGCTGGCATGTTTCTTCATGTATCTTTTTGTTTCCACAAACAAGGCCAGACACTAATAATCAGCAGCTTTCTCTATCAATTCGTAGCGTTGAACCGGTATTAATATTGAAATGAATGTAAAGTCTTCGATTAAACGGTTGGGGGACGAGAGCGGAACATGACGTACAGCATACAATATCTATTAGGTTTTCTTCCCAGGGTAGATGTAAAAATAAAAACATTTAATAATTATTTTTGTTTTTAGGGAAGAAATTTTTTTTGTTTTTGATAGATAGTAAATAAACGTGCGCATTTTATTTATTTAATGTTATTTCTTGGTTTACGTTATGTTTTTGTTTAAAGGATAGGTACTTGTATTTGTGTTCTTGTTCTTGTTTTAATTTTTATATTTGCTTAATTAAATTAATGTTAATAACATTGATATTCTTTTTTTTTTTTGGTTGTTGTTGTTGATTTTGTTTAATGTTAATTTTAATTTTAACTTTATATTAATAATTATAGTAGTTTTTGTTGTTGATTTGTATCTCTTATGCTTACTTGCATTTTGTTATTACGCAGATGTAGACTTAAGTTTAATCATATTTTTGAAGTATATTAATTTTTTTTTTTTTTTTGTGTATTTTAATAATTGTTTTATGCCGTTCTTTTTTGTAGTTATTTTTTTTTTTTT